CTGCGAGAGAACGAGATCGAGAGAAAAAAAATTATTTGCAAAAAGTGGCAAATTCCCATGTAATTTAAATGAAAATTTAATCGTCTTTGGGGCAAGGTTTGTTGTGAATATTAAGGGTTTACGATGGTCTGTTATTTTTTTTAGACAATAAACTACAAATTTAGAGGACATCGTGATCAAGTAAATAACAGGTAAATAACGGACACCCTAACCCGCATGAAGTTAAGAAAATTTTCTCCAAACTATTAAACAATCGTTTAACTTCCTTCCCCTTCAATCTTCTTCTTTTTTCCATCGTCCCTGACATCCCTTAGGCCCGCGTCACGCTAATTGCTCTTTCGAGGTCGATTAATAAGTCAGGAGCTCGACGGAGCGTTCGAGGAACAGGTGAGGGGCTGGGAGGAAACATTAGCCACCATTGTCACGTATCAGTCGGGCTTCGCTGGAAGTTGGAGGCAATCAGGGGATCCCCCCTTACCCCCCTACCTCGATTTGTCTAGGGAGAGTAAAGTTTTAAGTCTCTAATTCGATATCTTTCTGGAACGAAGTTAGGGTAGAGTAAGGTGTTTCTCCTACACACCTATAGTGTGTTTAAATTTTTAAGTTGGTGTTATTTGGTGAATCGAGTTTACAATATTGGACAGGAAATAATTAAAAGCATTTTCGCGTTAACCACAGACAAAGAAAATGTCAGGTATTGGTTGAAAAAGTTGTTATTTTTACTTGTTCCGCGGGCAATTTACAATTATATTGCTATTAAAATTGCAGGCTAGAAGGTAGTAGCAATTTTTTTAACAAAAATTTGCAATTACTTGAATTACAATTGTCATTAAAATTATAATTTGCAAATGTAATTGCAATTTGTAATTGATATTGCAATTTGCAATTACATTTGCGTTTGGCAATTATAATTGCATTTGGCAATTACAATTGTATTTTGCAATTACAATTACTGAACTTTGCAATTACAATTGCATTTTGCAATTACAATTCTATAATAAATAACTCTAACAAAAATTTATATCATGCTTTATCTAGACACTACTTTATAATTTCAACATACTTGTGATTTCAAGTAAATTTAATAAAATATTTGTTATGAAATGATATAACTACAAAAAATTCACCCTCAAATCGCTGCAAACCAAAGATAAAAAAATAAATCGAATACAGTCAGTAAATAGTTTAAGTAAAAAACTGACGGAGAAATTTGTCAGAAAAATCATTTTTTATCCAAATTAGAAATGATATTTCGATATTAAAGAGACAAAACATGTTGACTTTTAGTTATGGAATTGAATCGGAAATACGAGCCCTAACAACTGTATGTTGGGACAAGGTCTTTTTTGCAATAAAAATAGTAATTTGTTAAAACGACTCAATTTATTTTGTTTATTATTCTAAATTCAAACAGTACAATATGATCTAGACAATTTTACTACATTTTTATAACTTTGCAAATAAATCACTTTTGATAATAGCTTATTTTGACAAGATCAAGCCAAATATATATTGGGACAGCACAACAAGAAATTTGTTTAATACGGAGTTACATCACTTTTCGCCTTAACAACTGCCTGAACTCTTAATGGCATTGTATTTACCAAAGATTGGCACATTTGAGGAGAAAAATTATCCCAAATTTCCTGCAGTTTTGTCCGCAAGTCAAAAATTGTTCATTGAGGGTGGTTTCTTAAATATTGCTTCATTTTATGCCACACAGTTTCTATAACATTGAGGTCCGGACTACTTGAAGGATGGGATAGAACTTTTATATTATTATTACCGAACCAATTTTTAGTTGATCTTGCTGAATGGCACGATGCTCCATCTTGTTGGAAAATATAGTCTTCGTTTGGAAACAATTCTTGAGCACTAGGCAAAAGTGAGGTCTCAAGAATATGTTGATATTTTTGGGCGTTAACAGTGCCATCTATAAAATTTAATTTGCCCAAACCTCTTGCTGACATGCAACCCCAAACCATAATCCCCTTGGGAAATTTAACAACCCTCTTTAAGCAATCTTTATGAAAGGCTTCTGCTTTATTTCGTATTATTCGTTTTCGACGATCTCCAACGCAAACATCAAATTTAGACTCATCGCTAAATATGACCTTATTCCAATCATTTTGTGTCCACGATAATTTAGATTTTGCCCAATTGTAGCGATTTTTCTTTTGAATTTCTGTCAGTAGCAGTTTTCATTTGGCCTAAATAAGAATTTGTATCCATAATCTTCAGGTAATTGAGTATCTACACAAAATAAAGTGTACCTTGTAAAACCCCAGACCGCATTTGTGGATATATTTTCAGCAACATTCTCTTGATATATTTAAACCAGTTACAGTATTCCATTTCTGTTACTTCGCGAAGAGTACTTCTCGCAGACTTGCAAATTTTTACTAAATTTCGTAAATCTCTCTGAGATACAAACTGTTGGCCTTCCCGAACTTTTACCTCTAACGTCCACATTGGCAGATTCGCCGTATTTTTTTATTATATTAAAGACCGTGGTTTTTGGAATACTTAAATCATCAGAAATTGTTCGAATTGTTTTTCCCGTACTGTATTGATGAATGATAATTTCGCGTAGTTTTTGATTTGTAGCTTTTCCACGGACCATTACTTTGGATTAAATTAACAAAATTGAAAATTAAAAAAATTAAAATTTCTTACAGTAAATCTCACTAGTCAAAGTATCGAGTCACTTACAAGCTGTCAATGCTGAAGTAAACAGTTTGCGACATTTGTTTATAGCAAAGCCGCCTATGATGATATTAATTATTTAACAATACTTGTCCCAACATTTAGTTGTCAGCAAATTTGTCCTTTTATGAACAAAATCCGCTACTGTAAATATGGATTGATTTACAAATTCACAAAAATATTGTCAAGTTGTTTAGGATATATGGCTATGTTTATATTTAAAAAATTAAACATATAAATCTAAGACACATTTTTACTTATCATTCTTATCTAATTTTTATTTACACTACTGTAATTGCAATACTATTGCAATGTGCAATTAAGTAATTGCAATTTGTAATTGCAATCTGCAATTACAATTGCAAATAATAATTGCAATTAAAATTACAATATGCATTTATTACTATTGCCGTAATACTTTAAATTCTTGATCCATAAAAGTATATCATGATTTTATGAACTTTTGACCATAAGATAAGGTAATTACCAACAACAAATATACTTTAAACTAACTTCAAATCACAGAAAAAATATTCGTATCTAGTCAGTGAATGATCTAAGCAAAAAAAACACCAAATTTGTCAGGAAAAAGAGAGCTTTAAGCCTCGTTTCATCGGGAGAGGCAAACTTTAATCCCGAAATTACGTACGCCCACACAGCGGTACTTCCAAATGCATTACGCGATGTCAAAATGGCAGTTTAATAAATCCCCGGGTATCATTTTCTCGGGAATGGAGGAAAATAATAAAGAAAAGGCCAGAATTTTACAAATAAAAAGCTTTATTATACCCACACATATGTTATTCTTTCGTCCAACAAAATAAACGTAAACAACGTAAATTTAACTGGAGTATTATTACGTGCTGTACAGGGTGATCCAGTTTTCTATAGGAATATGGAAATTAATAAATAAAAGACCAGAAGACTATAAAAAACATCAGCTTTATTAACTAGTACATACATATACATTTTTTTTTCGCCTCTAACAAAAACAAACAACAAATTACTAGTAATATCACATGCTATATTTAAGTAATCCATCTTTATTTGCGTAAACAATACATTAAAATATATTCTTTTTATTTTATTAAATAAATTAACTTCAAAAATTAATTTTTAAAGACGGTTCATTTGAACTACTGGTCGAAAATTTTTATAAATTCGCAAAAATAAAAATATATCACATGAAGAAAATAATACAAGGTCTTATAATTATTCGAAACATATAATTTTGTAAATAAGAAAAACATTAAAAATATCTCATAAATTCTGTATTTTTATTGTTTAAATTTTTAGTTTATGTTTATTAAAATTATTGCATTGTTAATAAATAAATCCCCGGGTATCATTTTGTCGGGAAATGGAGGAAAATAATAAAGAAAAGGCGAGAATTTTATAAATAAAAAGCTTTATTATACCCACACATATGTTATTCTTTCGTCCAACAAAATAAACGTAAACAACAGATTTAACTGGAGTATTATTACATGCTGTACAGGGTGATCCAGTTTTCTATAGGAATATGGAAATTAATAAATAAAAGACCAGAAGACTATAAAAAACATCAGCTTTATTAACTAGTACATACATATACATTTTTTTTTCGCCTCTAACAAAAACAAACAACAAATTACTAGTAATATCACATGCTATATTTAAGTAATCCATCTTTATTTGCGTAAACAATACACTAAAATATATTCTTTTTATTTTATTAAATAAATTAACTTCAAAAATTAATTTTTAAAGACGGTTCATTTGAACTACTGGTCGAAAATTTTTATAAATTCGCAAAAATAAAAATATATCACATGAAGAAAATAATACAAAGTCTTATAATTATTCAAAACACATAATTTTGTAAATAAGAAAAACATTAAAAATATTTCCTAAATTTTTAAGGTGTTTTTTTTTCAAGTATAGTTTTTATTGTTTAAAATTTTTAGTTTATGTTTATTAAAATTATTGCATTGTTAATAAATAAAATTAAAATAAATTACATAATATACTGGTACAGTTTATACTTAATTGTAAATAAATAAAAAAATATTTTAAAATCAATCCATTATCATTCTAAAAAGATCAGCACTTTCTAAAATTACATTATAATTGACTGAGCTTTCAAATGTTTGTTTAAAACAAACATTTCCTACATTTTTTGCTTTCTAACACGTATTTATTCAAGTTCGTATATAATTTCATCTAATTCTGGGTATTTTTTCCTTCTTTAAAGCTAATTATTATTTATTTTATTCATAATCTTGGCATAGCTCTAAGTTAACTAACATTCCTTGTTTTAATATTAATTAAAACATAAAAAAAATTGAGCAAAAATAATATTTTGTGTAATTCTGGGGCTACTGTTACTAAAATACAACTAAAAATCAAAAAATACATTAAAATAGTTTTGAAGCCTTAGAGCATCAACATATCTAGACACCCTCCTTGGTAGGCACATAGTAACCAACATAAAAATCAACTATTTGACGCCATTCTAAAGCAAAAAGCAGTGCTAAACACGTATTTTTGACATGTTTGTCCTACACTTGACATTTTGAACTACCTTACTCAAGAAAAATCGCCGAAATAATTGACAATTTTACCATTAAATATTTTATTCTTTGTGTATATTGTTATCAAACTTCGATAAAACTGTTAACAGAAAAGTAATAAATCTTTGAAATCTACAAAAATGTGGTATCTAACACACTTCTAATATATAGGGTGTCCCATATAAAATTTATATAGTTTATACTATAACTGTGACATTTTTTGACAGCATGCATACCCCATTTATGATCATACATATGAAAAGTTGATTAAAACAGTACAATTTGTTCTTTTAATGAGTGTTCTAGCACAAAAAAGTATAGGCTGTTAAAATATAAAGTAAATTTGAACACCCAGTACGTATTCTGTGGAATCCAAGTGTGGGTTGCCAAGTTAGTCTAGCGTGTCATTTGCTATGTTATTTTAAGCTGTCTTGTGTAGTGTAGGTTATGTTGATTATTAACACAAAAATATTATAAAACCAATGTTAAAATATTTCTGTTTGTGTTCCTTTGTGTTTCTCTCTCTCTAGTTTCAAGGGATAAACGTGATATTTGGCAACACCGACAGCCGTGTTATTACTGGTTGTACTCATTGGAGAGTTACAGTACTTTACCCTAAATTTTCCCTTACAAAGCGATCAATTTACATTTTTTTCCTTTCCATTTCTCCACCAATTTCCTGTGTTCCTCCATATCTCTCAGTAGCGTCACTTGCCTGGACTGCGCACTCAGTTTCCTAGGGTCCAAGTTAGCTCCAAAAGTCTGCACGCCTCTGGCCAGCTTACCCAGCGGCGAAAATAATTCCCTGGCTCCAGACACTGGACTAGCGAGGCGATTTTTCAAGCCAGAGTCGCTCTGGCTTTGCGAAATGTTCTTCTGGATATCGTAGTCCGACGTGGATCTGTCCATGGTGGCCGATGAGGCGGATTTGTGCTCTACGATGTGAGCTGGATCATCTATTTCCCCCGATGATCTACTGTGTTTTTCGTGGAGCTTTAGTGATTTTGGAGGGGCTAGTTTTTGGTCTGGAGTGAGCTGGATAGAGTCTGCCGTTACCTGGAAATGAGCCAGTAAATGAAAAAAAGTCCCAACAAAGCAAATATCAAGATTTTTTACCTGAATTTCTGGAGCAGCAACAGACTGAACACGATTTTTTTTCTCCTGTAGGACTGCATCGCCTCCAGCAATGTCATTGGGATTAGTTTGTCCCATTACTATACCAACGCTGGGCAAAAACACGTCTTCATTTATCAGAGCACCCTCGGTACATTCTAGGCCTGAAAATACAAAGTTTTCTTTTATTTTAATATAAAAATAAAATTATTTTTTGTTTTGTGTGCAATAGAAATGGTAAATGTGTCTTTTAAGTGGATTAAAAGACCTTGAAAGTGAGAGTAACTCTCCGGGTGTCTTCGTCATCGCGACATTTACAAAACACATTAAAAATTCTATACGACGAAGATATCGACAAGGAACGACAATATAGGGTTCCATACCAATACAACTAATTTAATAATGTCAGAATAAATAATAATGAATAAATAGGGAATTAATTAGGAATAAATACACCAGTATTAAAAATTTATACAAATTTTAGCTTCACTCTAAAAATTAATGAATATAAGGAATTAATAATAATGAAATAACGAATTAATGACAAATAATGAATTAATCATGAATAAATAGTGAAGTATTGAAGAAAAAATAAACCGGTATTGAAAATCTTTACCAGTTTCAATTCCGCCTTGAAAATGAATGAATATATAATCAAATAATAATGAATATATAACGAATTAATGACAAATAATGAATTAATCATAAATAAATAGTGAAGTATTAAAGAATAAATAAACCAGTATTGAAAATCTTTACAAGTTTCAATTTCGCCTTTAAAATTAATGAATATATGATCAATTAATAATTAGTAAATAACGAATTAATGACAAATAATGAACTAATCATGAATAAATAGTGAAATAATAACCGGTATTGAAAATCTTTACCAGTTTCAATTCCGCCTTGAAAATGAATGAATATATAATCAAATAATAATGAATAAATAACGAATTAATGACAAATAATGAATTAATCATAAATAAATAGTGAAGTATTGAAGAATAAATAAACCAGTATTGAAAATCTTTACAAGTTTCAATTTCGCCTTTAAAATTAATGAATATATGATCAATTAATAATTAATAAATAACGAATTAATGACAAATAATGAATTAATCATGAATAAATAGTGAAATAATAACCGGTATTGAAAATCTTTACCAGTTTCAATTCCGCCTTGAAAATGAATGAATATATAATCAAATAATAATGAATAAATAACGAATTAATGACAAATAATGAATTAATCATAAATAAATAGTGAAGTATTGAAGAATAAATAAACCAGTATTGAAAATCTTTACAAGTTTCAATTTCGCCTTTAAAATTAATGAATATATGATCAGTTAATAATTAATAAATAACGAATTAATGACAAATAATGAATTAATCATGAATAAATAGTGAAATATTGAAGAATAAATAAACCAAGATATCCGAAGTGTAAGATCACCTAATGCACATATAACACATTATTACCATAAGAATGATTGGAATAAAAATATTAGCTTTTTCTCTGTAGCTAGAAGTAGTAAAAGGAGTAAATTCATTGTGATCATACCTTGCTCAACGCTGGGTTCAGTACTAGACCCAGAGGCAGATCCAGTTTGTGGTTGGAATATTGAATTCTCATAATCTTCGTCTGAATCGCTGGTACTGTCCCGTCTGGTACGCTGACCAATGGTAAAACGCGGTTTCGGGTTCAGTTTGGACTTGAAACTAATTTTGTTGAGCTTAGAAAATTGCTGAGTCATATTTGAAATGGCCTTAGAACCTAAAAATGCAATAAAAAACGATATTTTTCAAAAAAGGTGTAATGGTTCATTTGAACTAATTTTGACTAAAATTAAGATTTTCATAGAAATAAGTCTATGACACGTTGGAATAACTCACCAACGCTTTTTATTGCTGACAGTTGTGTTTCCGAGACGTTTCTGGTAATCTGGGGCAAGTTCATCAGGTCCAGGTAAATATTGCTACTTCTAGAAGTCCCGTCGTCAATAATTTTGGATTTTCGCTTGTCCAGAGCTTGACCAGTGTTGAAAGGAACTGTAGGAAGACCGGCTATCTCTATAGCCACAGAAAACGCCTCACAAATCGTCTTCAAAGATTCTAAAAATGGTTTAAAAATTTTAACAATTGATTTTAAATTCTGTTCGTCTTGAATTTTACATTATTTTTATTATTCATTAAATTTCAGAATTTTCATAAATTAATACCAGATAAACAGAAAAAAAACACACTAGCCTCCAGTCAGCGAATTTTTGAAATTAATTTCCTGAGAGAATAAAATTAAAGGCTGGCTTTAGAAGCATAAAAAATTAATACAAATGGCATTAACTATAAAAAAATCGTTCCATCTGGGCTTAGAAACGTGAAATACTAATTTATAACATTTTTAAGCACTATAAACTTAATTTTTAGTGCCCTGTTAGTGGCAAGAAAAAGCAACATGGATGGTTCATTTGAACTACTCCAGTAAAAATTTAAAAACTTACCAATTTCTTCTTCTACGTTCTTTATTACAACTGCCATATTATTGAAAAATCTCAAATGAGTCGATCTAAACATGTGATAGTACCCAGGAACACCATTAACTTTGTAGTTGATCCTTATACAATGCTTGTTCTTGTTCAATTTGAACAAATTTCCCGAAGATTGGGGCATACCAAACTCCAAAAGGTCCACATCACTTAATTCGACGTTTTGGAACTTTGTAACCTTGTCCACCTGTAAATAAAACAATTTTTTATAATAATTGATAATGATTTTTGACAAAAACACGTACCTGGTCATCATAGTCTGCAACAAAGTACGAATCCCTGGTCAAAATCAAAATGGAGTCCATCTCAGTCTCGCTGGGATCCCCAGTGACAGGATCTGCATTGATTAGGCCCCATGCGCCTACAACCAGCTCAGGCTGATTGATCAGCATCTTTTTACAATCTTCTATCAATATTTTTACATGTTCCGCTGTTGCAATATTGTCCTCTTCGTAGTTTGACTTGTTATCAATGAATATATCTTCAGAAACGTAATTGCCTACGAAGAGAAACAATAAGGTGTAGTATAATATACTGGGTGTTCGCCTATAGAAAAAAATTACCTAACATAATGTCTATAGTGCCTTGTCTGGCTGAATCCTTGAATCTGCTCAGGTAGTACCTGAAAATGAAACTCCTATACAACCAGAAACGCACGAGATTTCATCAACACCTTCAAGACATTACCACATAACCTCTTTTTTCTCTTCAACAAACCAAGCCTGTTGTGCACCTAGAAGCTTTTTTAGTCACGCTATATTATAAAGACAACAAAAATAAATGCGCCAAGAACGATAATATAGGGTTCCATACCAATACAACTAATTTAATAATGTCAAAATAAATAATAATGAATAAATAAGGAATTAATTAGGAATAAATAAACCAGTATTAAAAATTTATACAAATTTTAGCTTCAATCTAAAATGAATATAAAGTAATGAATATAAGGAATTAATAATGAATAAATAGCGAATTAATGACAAATAATGAATTAATCATGAATATATAGTGGAGTATTGAAGAATAAATAAACCAGAATTGAAAAGCTTTACAAGTTTCAATTTTGCCTTTAAAATTAATGAATATATGATCAATTAATAATGAATAAATAACGAATTAATGACAAATAAATAATGAATTAATGACAAATAAATAATGAATTAATGACAAATAAATAATGAATAAATAAACAGGTACAGGATAAATAAAAAAGTATAAGAAAGATTCACATATTAGCTGTAAGGTATGAAACCCCAGAAATACGATAAAAAATAAGTTAATGCGTGTGTTCCTCGGGAAAACCGTTTATTAGATCCTATAAATCCTGCCAACTGACCTAGACATTTGATAGATAAGGTGTGCCAGTTCGAATTCTTGCTGCAGCGCCAAGTGAGGCGCTAAACGTGGCGTTTCTTCTGGTAAATGTTCGGCCGCTATGCAGCTGACGATTCTGAGAAACGTCCAGAAGTCTTGGACTTCGTAGTCCCGGAGCTCAGCGCCCTGGGCTATGTCCAGGGCGCACTGCCTAACCGAGTCCTTAAAATGATTCGTAAAATATCTACAAAGGACAGAAAAGGAAAAATATGTTGGATTCGTGGGTTTGGGGTATATTTACTGGTAGAAATTGTTGGTAAATCGGTCAAAAATAATGAATAAATGTACCTGTTAGCTGAGTTCATGCCATCCTTCATGATGCCTGTGAATTTTCGTTCGCCAGTCCTGGTGTAATCTCCCTAAAATAAAATGTTTTTTTATTCAAATTATTCTTTATTACAGTAATTTTATTCATTCAGTCTTTATTAATTTAGTGTTATTCTTTACAATTGCTTGTTTATTGAAAATGTACCTTCAGTGCATTGGTTCCTGCATACTGCTTGCTTATAGTATCTCCATTATTAGCCCACAACAACTGAAAAGTCTGTTTAATGTTGTTGGGTATTTCCCCCTCAGGTGAGACCAATCCCAGCTTGCAGAACTGCATTTCCATCACAGCTTTTCCTAAAGCAGTCTAGAAGAAAAATCTTTTTTTATTCCAATTCAAAAATATTAAGAAAAAAACGTATCCACCTGGACAACATTTGTTCTGTCCAAACAATCAATACAATTGACTCTGAACACTCCGTTTTGAGAACATATATGCCCCTGCTTATCCCTCCAGCAATAGTTCATTTCTTTCAGGATATCTTCCACTGCGCTTGTCAAAATTGATACATTTTCAAAATGCATTCCTCTACTGGAAAGATAAATAGGTTAATTAGGTTTAATTTACAATATTACATATTTTTTACTTACCAGTACTCGTGGAAATCAAATGTAACATATGTTAGAAAAGGACTGTCCAGGAGCAACATATGATGTGAATATGCATCGAAAATAACTTTTTCTTTGCCAGTTTGATCAACTAAATTTACTGCACAAACTGGACCATACTTTTTTATCTCCTTGGTGAAATGTTTTTCAAAAGCCACACAAGTTTCAGTTTCGCCTTTAATATCCATGAATAAATAATGAATTAATGAAGACTAAATATACCAGTATTGAATAGAGTATAGAGAAGATTCAATTCAAACACAGAGACAAATTTCTGTGTGCTATAATCAATTACCTTTATCCAATCTTGGTGGAGGCCTATATTTATAACCAGGCTGCGACCAAAAAACTGGCACTGAACCGCGTACTTGCAAAAATGACACTTCGTGACTCTGGTATGCTATAATCTGTTCTGTTTCAACATAGTTTGCAACTTCGCCATCATCATCAACTCCACGCCGCTTGTATCTGAATAAAAAATCATTAAAAACTTTCTTTACTAAATTATCATGTGTTTCTAACCTTGTACCAGCTCTAAACCTACTCCTTCTCGACAAAATACACAGAGTAAAAATTTCGTACAACTTTTCCTTGTCATCTTCGTTGGAAAAATGCCCCACATCAACTCTACAGTCTCTAATTTGAATGAAGCCTTGTATTATAGGCAGGATCCATGGATCACAAAGACTATTCTATAATTTTAACAATATATAAATTGAGTACAATGAAAATGATACTTTCAATTCATACTTCACTATTTATTAGGCATGATAGCATGTGTTTGTTCCAAAAAAACTTATCATCCACTGTTTTCCAAAGGTATTTACTATCAATTAAGTTATTTTTCTCCAAATAACATAGTCTTTGTAAGGAATTTGTTAAGTCTGTTGTATGTGAATAGTAAAACGAATCTGTATCCGTGAAAACCTTGTAAAACTCTTCTATTATTTGCTTTTCAAACTTGTCTTTGTCTTTAATGTCACGCTTAGGCATCCCTGTAGCTATTGCAGCTGCTTGTTGAGTGGTATTTTTTATAGTACTGCCTGCACTTTTTAATGTACCCCATGTTTTACTCAAAGTATTTTTCTGTAACTCTAGCAATGGATTTGAAGTGTTTGGTTTCTTTAAACTGATTGTTTTGTGTTTTGTACAGGTTCTTAAGTTAAGAGCGACATTTTCAGTGTTCAACGGTAAAAAAACGACTGACTTTATTTTGTAAACTTCATTATTGCCATGTAGTTTACCAACGAGGGAACTTTCCTTGATTAAAAGAAGCTTTGGATCGAAAAGGGGGACATATTCGACTTTTCCAATGATTCCCTCGCATATTCCTAGACAAATTGGGTCTTCTGCATCAGGTAAATCCCATCCTAAGACATGAAAAAAGGGTTTACATTCTTGCGAAATATCTGGGTTAAAGGGAACTCATTTATTATTTACCTGTTTTAGGTATAAATGCGCCAGTGTTTCGATCCCACCATAGGGAATATTCGTCTTTGACAAAAATATAAAACTCATTTGTGCGAAAAAGTTCCATTTTTTTATTAAATTAAAGGAAAAGTTGTATTTTGTATTTAAATTTCTTCACCTGTCAAAGAACCAAAACACAATCAACCTTGAGAATGTAGGGACGGTAACAAAGTATCGATATTCTAAATATGTCGATATATATTCAAAAACATATGGATATATTCTAAAAAATATTTTGGTTTTTCATAATAGTTTTGTTGTAAAATTAACAATTAAAATTATAGCCTGAACACAATACTAAATAAATAGATAAATATAATTTAATACAACATGCTTAAAATTAATTTAATAGCGATTGTCTTGATCGGTAATCGATATTATTTAAAGAAAATGATACAATCTATCGATATATTTATAATTATTTCCGTCCCTACTTGAGGCGCTGTCAAGTTGACATCAAAACAAAACACCAAGGAGTGAAAGAGAGAGATATAGTAAATTCAAAGAGTGCGAGAGAGATAATACGAAAAAAGGAAGTGGATAATGATTCGTAAACGCGGAACGAAAAGATCAATTTGTTTGCACATGCGAACAATTCATTATTTTTAATTTAGTTTCGTTTGGGAAAAAATTAATAACGTTTAATTAACATTTAACGCAGACTAAGCATTAAAAACATGAGACTATTTAATTGCTGTAAACGTGAGTTTGTCGTACAAGTACAATTAACTATATGTGTACCCCTTTTAAAGACAAATATGTTTTTTCTCCTTCAAAAAAACTAATAAAAAATCGAAATTAATCCATTTTCTGAATGCAATTTTTGTTTATGACCAAACCAAAGTCCTTTATATGTGTAGCTTTAAATGTTTACATGTAAAAAATGAAAATTATGTGTTTCTACAAAAAAAACCAAGACATATATTTCTAAAATATATTTCTAGAAAAAAAAATCAGTCTGCTAAATCCAATTGATTAAAATACCTAGCAATAATACAAATATACAAATTCAAAGGTGCAGCAACCTCCTCATTAACACTGTCACTTAAACCTGCCCTAATATCAGCACAAATCTTTGTAAATTCCCTCAATTTAAAACAGCAATCTGGAGTTAAGGGTTTCTCCAGCAAAACCAGTATGGCATAGATCCACGATCCAACATTGTTGTTTATAAAAGTCCTGTCTTGTTTTAATGTGTTTGTTATATCTTGTAACAGTTGCACCTTTGCTGCCTGAGAGTACTGAGTGATTTCCGAGAATTTTGGCGCAGCTTCGTGGATTTTTCTCAGTAAATCTTCAGTTCTGAACCTGTCTCTCAAAGGCAAAGCTGTTTTGGAGTTGTTAACAAAATTTCTCAGTTGAATAAAGTCTTTTAGAGCGTTATCTTGCCAATCTTTTGTTGGGTAAAACTTGTCTAAAGCTTTACTTGTTGCTACGTCCTAAAATTGTTCCAAATTTATGTATTTAGAAGCAAAAAAAGTAACTTTTTAGATACCTTGTTAATGTGTACTGTCTGATTTTTGGTAAACTTAGTAAAATCAGCTTTTGCTGTTACCCATTTCTTACATTTCTTTGTTCTTTCGTATATTACATGTTGCAGATATTCTTCACCTATAGATAAACAAATTATAATACAAAAAAACAGGAATTTTACCATAATTATAGACCTGTTTGTGGTATGGAGTTTGGATCGAAGTTTTCGGGTATACAGACATCTAAAGCTTTCTTTTGAATGCCCGATTCGTCACTGCTTGATTCAGAATCGCTTAAATACATTATTTAGTTTAAAAAAAGCATTTAAAATCTTGAAATAAAACGTAAACAACCGGCATGTAAAGGACCTTTGACATGTTTCAAAATACTCGAATGCCATTGGTCCATTACGTTTTGGATCTGTCAAAAATGAGAAAAAATGAAGTTTATTGTGATAACCTCGAAATTATTTGAAACTTTTCTGCTTTTTTACCGCAACATTATCGTTCTTTTACGTTTTTACAGCTATGGAAGGAAAACTTCCACTAATAATCAAATGGAGCGGAAAAGAATACGAGGTTTACATCTCAGAGGACGACTCCGTGGCTGATCTGAAGCGAGAAATCCTTTACAAGACCGCTGTGAGGCCAGAAAGACAAAAACTTTTAAACATAAAAATGAAAGGTAAAGTTCACTTAGAAGAACGGTTCAAAACAGGGTATTTCTATTGTTAATTTATCAGGCAAAGGTTCAGACGAGGAATGTAAAATAAGCAGTCTCAAACTGAAACCAAACTTTAAGATTATGATGATGGGATCTCTCGAACAAGACATTGTAGAGGCCAATACGGCTCCTTCAAATTTACCAGAAGTAGTTAATGATTTTGATATAGAAGGTATTACTTTTATACCTACAGGTTGAATTAATGTATGCTAATTAGGTATTTTTTGCTATACAGATGAAGCAGTAGCTATAGAAAACCAAGAAGTATATCTTGCTAAAGTTTCACGTAGAGTTAAGGAGTACGAGGTTAAAATACTGAACGAGTTAAGACCAGGAAAGAAACTGCTTGTGCTAGATATTGATTATACACTATTTGATCACAGGACAACAGCACAATCTGGTTAATATTTTAAATAACACTGAAAAAAATTATATAATACAATAATGCATTTTTATATAGGTGCTGAATTAATGAGACCTTATTTGCATGAATTTCTAACAAGTGCATACGAGGATTATGATATAGTGATATGGTCAGCAACCAACATGAAATGGATTATAGAAAAAATGAAGTTGTTAGGAGTTGATAAACATCCGGACTATAAAATTGCATTTTATTTGGATTCGTTGGCGATGATTTCAGTTCACACACCCAAATATGGAGTCATAGATGTAAGTAGTTGTTTATTTGATAATTTAGGTTACACAAGCTTAGTTGCATACGCAACAAAATATTTACTGATATGTTAGTTAACTAGAATAATGAACAATTTGTTGACTGTGCAAAAATTATTTCTAATAGCTATTAAAAATGTTAATTTATAATTAATATTTTTATGGGGCATATTTTAATATTTTTTAATAAAAGGATATACTTATACAGGGTCATATATTATTTAAGAATATTATCACATGCTTAAGGCAATCTGTTTTATATGTATTCAAATTTCTAAAAACACTCTGTAGGTGTCTGTGTTAAATCTATTTGTACTTGAAACCCTTGGATGTCATTTGGGGTAAATATGAATATATTTAAATATTTTTTATACTGCGTGTTTAAATAAATTCTGACACACACGAGAAAAAAACTATTTTAGTTTTCTCAAAGATTTTTATTTTTATAATAAAAAGTGTGCACATAGAAGTATATATACAGAGGTGTTATTTAAGTATGCTATCACATACTTAAAACACCCTGTAGATATATAAAAAAAATTGAAAAAATAAATATTTTTCTGTCTTCAAATTTTAAAAAATATCCTGTATGTATCTCTGTTAAATTTGTTTATAGGTAAAACCCTTGGGAGTTATTTGGGGTAAATATGAACAGTATTCCACAAAAAATACGATAATGTTTGACGATATTAGACGTAATTTTATCATGAACCCAAAAAATGGTCTCAGAATCAGACCATTTAGGGAAGCACATTTAAACAGGTGGGTTTAACATCAAAAATTATTCATTTTAATCAGTAAAATTTAAAATTCCAACTATCTCAAAGGTTCCTGATCTTCTGAAGGTACAGAATTGTTTTAAAAATATATTTTTTTGAAAATGTTTAGATATAAAGACGACGAACTGCTGAGATTGTCGAAATATTTGAAAGACTTGGCGGAACATTGCGCGGATTTTTCCTCTGTGAATCACCGGCACTGGGAGAAATACAAGCCTAAAAAAAGGAGGCACAGCAAAGATAGCAGAGATAACAAAGATAGGGATAGGACAGATAGAATAGACAAGGCAGAAAGTTAAAAATAAATTAATAAATAAAGTTTATGTTTATAGGTCTTAGTTTTGGTGTGATGTGTTTTTTTTCTAGGATGAAGATAGTTGCATTTAAAGAAAGGGGACTCAAGTATATTTTTTCAGTTCGCCCTGTATAAAACACACGACTTAAAGAAATATTTTTAGTATAAAATTGTTTTCAGATATTTTAGAAACGCCTTGTATATTTATATGGACAAGACACTGTTTGTTGTGGCTTAAAAAAAAATAATTTAAATAAATATTGAGTCGTCTTCTTTGCTAATGTCCGTGCAACAATTGAAAAAGTCCCGGTGTACCAAAAAAATAATCAAATTATGAATAAAAAAGTGTTCATATATTAGTTGGCATTACTGTATTAATTGTTATAAAAAATCAAAGCCAATAAATTACTCTATTATTCTGACACATGTTTGATTTTACTTTCTAGTTCATCAACGTTCAAAGTATTTGACCTTAATTAGTGAAAATTTATAAATATCGAACTTTTTGTTTATGTCTGTGTTGTAAAAATAATCGTACCTGTGTTACACAAAGTAATTTTCTGTCCTAGATTTAAAAAAAAATGAAAATAGAATATAATATATTTTTATTAAAGTATATTATTTGGAATATACAAAGTAATAAATTGTTTTTATATAAAACTAAAATTCTATCTTAGATTTTCTGAATGGCTTCTACTCACTGTCAATGCTGTGGACGCCTGTCTTATCAATTCCACAAAAATTATTAGAATTCTTCTCCATTCTTCCATGAAATGGTGATTCTAAAAATATATATATTTTTTTTTAATTTAGGTTCTGTAGTTTCAACCATTTTTGGATGCACTATAGAAGATATTTTATATTTTTTCAACATTAATATATATTTTTTTAAAGATTCTCTAGCTTGGAAATCCACAGAAAAAAACTTCTCAGTGGCTTCTTAATTGTACATGGTGAATCAACAATAGTTTTAAGTTCATTATGTATGTTTTGAGATATATGTACTACGAAAATTTATTAAATAGAATAATTTTAGGAAATATTAAGAAGCGCAATTTAAAAGTAAATTTGAGTATACAGGGAGCTTCAAAGAGTATGGCGGATATGACATATTTTTTTTTAATTAAACACTCGGGTTTTTATTAAGTTTTTAGGTTTTGTGTCTAAGATCTATAACTTTTTTTGTATACCGGGTGCGTCTCAAAAGTGGCTCACCCCTATAACTTTTTTATTTTTCAGATAAAACAACGAGATTTGGTATGTTAGAATATGACATATATTGGGATTGATTGACGTATTCAATTGATTTCTGTCACTTCCGGTTACACCGGAAATGATTATAACTTTTGATTTTTAAATGACACCCTCGGTATTTTTTTACTTTATTTGATAGAAAATGACACTCTGAATCGAATGACATATCATATGTCAACTTTTGACATTTTCGCATATGGTTTATTTGGAATTGTAACATGCGGTTCATAACGACAATTTGACTCGAAATACCAAGTGGTATCAAATTATTCGTAAAAAATCGTGTCATTTTCAATCGAATAAAGTAAAAAATACCGAGGGTGAAATTTGAAAATCAAAAGTTGTAGTAATTTCCGGTGAAACCGGAAGTGACAAATGAATTGAATATGTCAATCAATTTTAATTTATGTCATATACAAACGTACGAAATCTCGTTTTTTTATTTGAAAAAATAAAAAAGTTATAGGGGTGAGCCACTTTTGAGACGCACCCGGTATAATAATTACTCACTTTGGTTACTTAAAACTAGTGATTTCCTTGGTATTGGTACATATTTAATTTTTCATAAAAATTACACAATGTGGTAAAAAATTTTAATATGAATAATGAAAAACATATAATTAAAGATATTTCAGTTGGATGCTACAGGGTGTTAAAGATTAATGTATGAATTTCCATTGTTTTAAAGGAAAAAAATCAACCTTTTTATCGTTTTATCCCCTAAAACTTTTTTATTTAATTTTAATTTACAAATTTACTCCCAATCTGTTTGTTACACCCTGTATAATACTACTAGTAATAATAAAGAGAAATAATCTAACTTCTATGTTAAAAAACTGCGGCAACATGGAAACTGGCAACGTGTGCCCTCTCAGTTCGTCTGCGGGTGACAGTTTTATGCTGCAATCCAACAAATTTAGTATCAAAGCTATGAGAGTCCTGTGTCTGAGGCTGAGTTCTTCTCTTATCAGGCCCAGGACGTCGGATGCCACGACTTCCGGAGGCACATTTCTGTTGTTGTTATCTGAAAACATAGAAACAACCTTAGACGTAAAAGAAATAGACACCTACTTTGCGATATTAGCCTCAGAATAACATGAAGCATATTTGTATTTTTTTTGTCGATAAATTTTATGTTTAAAGACACTTATGTGTTCTAATAATCTATATAAATAACAATTAATTAGTGTTTGTTACTGGAAGTGTATTACGTTTACCTAAAACTAGTGACTGGATAGAAGTCGGTATTAAGGGTTGTTCCAGCCGTGTCAGGAAGATATACAAAGCTTGGGCAGCTTCCAGCCTCCAACCAGCATCTAGCAAGCTTCTCACAGCCCTGGGACAACCTGAAAGAAGATATACAACATTAAATAGGGCTCGTTAGTGTGTATATGGTATGTAATGTATACCGCTCTCTATAGCAGTGACGATTTCGTTGACAACACCTTGGTTTGCCACGCCTTCGCCTCTAAAGACCCAACCGTGTCCCAAAACTCGAACATCTATAAACGTATATTTATTTTTAATATATTATTTAATTTATTAAAAGACATCGTATCTGTAATAAAACAGAAACATTTTTTTGGTGTCTCTGCATATTAATGTAAAACTGAAGAAAGCTCACTATAAAATTAGTTACTTCTTCTCAAACTGTTCACGATTTCTTCAAGAGCGTCCAAACGGTCTTGAGTGATGATATCTTTTTCCTTACAGCTCCAGCAGTGATAAGGACCAAACCTAATTTTAGAAAAAAATCAACATTTTTTAAGAAAAGATATTGAAAATAGTAAAATTTTTTTTTTACTTTCAATATTTTATTTTGGTACACTGCGTATGTTATTTCTTAAATCTTAAAGAAATAACTTTTGACTTCTGTACGTGTGTGACCTCATTAGAAAAAAGTAATATTGTTTATAGTTTAACAATAAGTGAATATAAACAAATTCCTCGCAGTTAATTGCTTGACGGGTTAAATAATAATAATAATTTTATCGATTGATGAACCTGAAAATTAAAAAAATATTTTTTCGAAAATATCACGTCTTTTTTTCAAATTTTAACCCCTGGAAAATTTTACTATAAAACAATGAAGAGAACTATACAAAGAATCAGTTTGTAAAAATGAATTCTTCTAAAATGAGTGTCATTTTTATTTTCGTCGCATTTTATATAGTTTTTTCCGATTGTTACTGCGTTGACAGAACGAACACCTGTCAAAATTGCGGCGGATGTTGCAATTGCCATGTTCCATCGTTTGTTTCAAACAGAATGGCCCAACCTGTATCATATTACTCAGTTATACCACAAGAATACATGGGTTTGAACCGAGAAATATCCGTACCAGTACGTTTTTTGGAAGATTCCGTGGAGAAAACTGAAGAAATGGATAAAGCCATCGACCTGGAGTTCTTGAAAGAGATTTTCGAGGCTGCAGAGGGTAAAAAAGTGCCGGAAGTCCAGCCAAGAGTTTTGCCTGACGTTTTGGCAAGCTCCCGGGATTCAGATTCAACAGACAGCAAGTCCTTGGAAAGTTTGAAAACGACTGCAGGTCCAGAAACGTCCATAGAAAGTACTTGTAATGTTCAAGGGAAGGATAAACAGGACAACAGTATTACGAAGAGTTGCAGAAAAGGAATATTAAATTTGAGGAATTTAAGGAAGAATAAGAAGCACGAAGAGGGTATGAGTACCACCGAAGAAACAACTGTTCAAAGTACTACCGTAAAAATATCCTGATTTTTACAATTTTTATTTATTTGAAATATTGATCTGTTGTAAATATAGTTTTCTTTAATTTATACTAAATTATATGTATTTTTATATTGAATGTCAAAATAAATTATATGCATTTAAATTTAGTTGTTTTTTTTTGAGTCTCTTAATTATACAATATGATCGAAAAAAAAACGGCGTCAGCGATGGCTATGAAATAAGAGTCGCTGCCATTTTATATATAAAATTATGTGAAAAAACGTCATTTCGAAGCCCACTGGACACCGTTTTTTTTTCGATTATGCTGTATATTTTAATATTATAATTGTTTTATATTCGCTGCTTTATTTTATTTTATTTTTTTTAATAAAATAAAAGAAAATTATAGCGTACAACATTCATTTTAAAATTTTTTTTGTATTTAACCAACAAAAAATCATCTATTGTAATTTTATCATACCGTATTTTTCTTATTAGATAAATATAAAATATATCTAAATATCTTTGATAGTTACCCGTATTGCCGAAATTATTTTTTTTATCATTTTATATGTAAAATTATATCGTAAATGTTATCAATTGTCATTTTTAAGCCAACTTGACACTGTTTTCTTCTAGATCATACGGTATTTTTTACAAACATTTATGTTTCTAATATGAAACTATTTTATTTAGTGGTAAATATTCTAATTTAATAACCTTTTAATTTTTACCAAATCTAATTAAATTCCTAACTAATAAATATAATAAAAAATATAGATAGTATATATTTTTCTTATTTAATTTAGTATCAGATTATAAAAATTTTAAATCAAAGTATCTCGATGAAACGCGGTAGTCGCAAAACGCTGAGTTAACAAAAAAACCGCTTATAAAATGCAATCGCGCCGCTCCGATCGTCAGTCGTACCTCGAACAACCATCGTACAACCATGAAACCCTTCGGCATTGCCCTGTTATGCGTTTATCTCGCTAGTGCGGTACTCTGTGCTGAAATAAAAAATCCTGAAACCGTATCAGAAACGCTGGAAACTGAAGCTCTTAAAGATCCACTGCCAGAAGAAGTTCCTGAAGATAAGGTTAGGAGCAAGAAGTCCGCTACCACCACTCTCTGCGTAGAAATCCGACCTGGACCAGACCAGAAGCCTTATCAAGTGTGCGAACAGCCGGCACCCTATGCAGCTCCAGAGGCAGCACCTCAGCAAGCTTATGCCAAGCCGGCACCAGCTTACGCTCCAGCCAGCAAGTCGTACGCAGCTCCAGCTCCGGCTCCAGCTCCTAAACCATACTCCGCAGCTCACAGTCCTTCGTACTCTAGTTACAGGAATGCCGAAGAAGAAGAGGAAATGATGAACGCTGAAGAAGTCGAAACCATGATGAGAATGGGAGCGGTTTCTGCCGAAGACGAGGCCGAAGAAGAAATGAACGATATGGGTTCGAACATGAGAAAGGCCAGTGCAGGATACGGAGGATACGGAGCTCCTAGTTACGGAGGACAGTCTCATTACGGAGGAGCCTCTGCCAGTAGCTACGGAGGAGGAGCTGGCTATGGCGCTGCACCAGCTCATCATTCCCTGAACTTCGTCCCTGCCGACTACAAGAAGAAGCCACACAGCGGCGTAGTCATCACCTGCCAACCCAACTTGGCAGGATATTCCCACGGCGTGGCAGGAGGATACGGAGGAGCGGGAGGATCATCAGGATACTACAGGTCGTCTACCAGCGGCTACGCTAGGCCTTACTCTTACGGATCTTATTCACAACCTGCTTCCTACAGGGCTCCAGCTTCCTATGGGTATCCAGCACCTCAGCCAGCCTACAGCGCACCGGCTCCACCAGCTTATCCTGCACCGGCCAAGGGTTACGGAGCTCCGGCCAAGGGTTACAGCGCTCCAGCTCCTTCCTATGCTGCCCCGGCGAAGCCTTACAGTCCGCCAGCTCCGGTCCCGTCGTACTCTGCTCCTGCTCCAAGTTATGCACCTGCGCCAGCTTATTCAGCACCTGCAGCTCCCGCCTCAGCTTACTCTGCACCAGCTCCAGCCTATTCTGCACCGGCTCCAGCATATTCAGCTCCTGCGCCAGCCTATTCCGCACCAGCTCCAGCGCCAGCTTATTCTCCGCCTGCTCCAGCCTATTCAGCTCCTGCTCCTGCCTATTCCGCACCAGCACCATCTTATTCAGCATCTGCTCCTGCCTATTCAGCACCAGCTCCTGCCTATTCAGCACCAGCTCCTGCCTATTCAGCACCAGCTCCTGCCTATTCAGCACCTACTCCTGCCTATTCCGCACCATCACCATCTTATTCAGCTCCTGCGCCTGCCTATTCAGCTCCTGCACCAGCATATTCAGCACCAGCTCCAGCGCCAGCTTATTCAGCACCAGCTCCTGCCTATTCAGCTCCTGCACCAGCCTATTCAGCACCTGCACCCGCATATTCACCCCCAGCGAAGCCATATAGCCCACCCGCGCCTGTCTATCCTGCTGCTGCTCCTTCTTACTCTGCTCCAGCTGCCAGTTACAAAGCTCCTCCGACCTACGGTGCTTACAGAACTGCGGAAGAGACCAAAGAAGCCTCCAACACAGAGAAAATGATGATGAAGGAGATGCACACGCAAAAGAAGATGGAGGAGATCGCTATGGAGAGATCGGCTCACAAAATGAAGACTGAAGATAAGAAAGAATCGAAGACTGAGGAAGAGAAAGTCGGAGAGACTCACGAGCATATGAAAGCTGGACAAGGATGGGAAATGAGGAGCTCTGAGATGGAAAAAGAGCCGGAAAAGAAGCAGGTCGATGAGGTTAAAGTGGATCCAAGCGAATTGAATGAAACCAAGGACGGTTCTGCTAATCCAAGAGCATCAGATGATAACAAACAAGGATGGTCGTCTTTGAGCAAAACAGGAGACAAACCTCAGGGATGGAACAGCAAACTGAGAGGAGCCCAGGAAGAAGTAGAAAACGAAATCGACTAAATTTATGAATATTTTTTTAGTTAGGTTTTTATAATCGTACTGTATATTTATCCAACATTATTTGTAGATATTTTTATACTTTTGTACTGTTGTTTGGAATAAAAGCAAAATATTGAATGAAATCGTTTTCTTATTTTATAAAATAAAATTAAACTGATCCTATATTTACCCTTATAATCTGTAACAAACTAAATTTGTTGGTACTTAATATTTCTATATATTTATTTTTTTCTTTTAAAGTTTATAGAAGCAAACAAATAAATAAAGCTGTTGTAAGATATAGTTAAAAGGTACATACCTAGATAAGTAATTTCCCATAAATTATTTCTGAAAACTCTTAAAAAATGAAATGAATTTGATTAAACTGTCAAAACATATGTTTATTTGGTTGCATTTATTTTTTTAGATTACATATTATATTCTTATATATTTTATTGAGGTAATATTTTACTTAAATAATTTTTTATACAACAAAATAGAGATATTCCACCTTTTTTAACCTTAAGTAATTTTATTTTCTAACCAAACTTGTGTTAAAGTAATTTTTTTAACCTCCCCATTAACATTTTTCATTAATATAGGGGTATGCAAGAATTATTTTCATATTTACTTTAGCTTATTAATGGTATTAGTTGTTATTCCATATTTCTTTGAAGAGTAAATATCATTTTTTGACCGTATTAATCATTTTTAATGATCACTAACGCGAAAAAGTACATTTATACATTAAAAAATAGTCGCGTATTTTCAAACTTTTCGTTTAGCGCGCTTAATTTACTACAGCGCCACTTTTTTCTGTGGTGGATTTTGGAACTACTAATGGTCCGGCGATATCAGCGCCATCATACAGGAGGTATTAAAACTAAAAATTATAGTTTTCTGTTTTTTAGTAAGTGGCGCTATCGTACGGTAAGTGTGTAAGTTAACTAGTTATAGATTTCTATATTTTGGATTATATCTAGTGACATCTAACAGTGACGGTCCCAAGTTCGATTAAGATTTTTATTTAATTTTAAAGAAATCTACTATTTTTAATTCCAAATAAGTTTTTAGTCAGAGCCATCTATACGTTAAATTTTATACTATTTGTGGTTTTAACTAGAGATGGGCGGTTATTGGTAAAAAACCGGTTATAGGTTAACCGGAATTATCTTTAAAAAATAATAACTTAACAAAATTAACCGACACAAATTAACCGGTTATTCAAATAACCTAACCTAGCAAAACTAAATATTTAGTTTTCCTATAGGTTTACTTACCTCTACACTCTATAGGTCTACTTCAAATTTAGATAATAAACTTACTTAAATCGCATGATTAAATAGAGATTGTAGCAATGTAAGTATGTATATGTACAAAATGAATTTAAATAAAAATGCTAACCTCACTTTTTTGAGTAGACATGGATATGATATTAAAACTAGTAATTACTTAACGTTCAAATAAACTACACAACTCACAAGTTCTACAACCTACAACCAAGTTATTTTAATCGAATACCAAAGAAAAATAAGGAGACTGAATGAATAAATGAATAAATAATGAAAGATTATCTTCATTCATTACTTGAACTTCAATTGTGTATTCTTAGTCTAAGCTTCAAGAGGGACTTCAAACTACAAATAAAATATAATTACGGTGAAACGTGGGTGAAACTGGGCGAAACCATGGAAAACTTTTGAAGAACCGTTGAAAATCCGTTAAAGTCGATTAAAATTTAAATATAGAATTTAGAGAATCTATTTGAAGTTAGGTTCGTATCACTTGGCTAGCTGGTGGCTAGTAGTAGTCTATGGCATTAGTACTTTGTTTTACGGCCTGACCTGTCAGGGCCATTCGGCCGTTGTTTTGATTATTATCATCAGGGTTCGCCTGATGCCTGATTTAATTTTGACATTTGATGTTTGATGTCATGTTGATGTCATATATTTTCACTTGTGTCTAGCCCTAGCAGGCAACTATTAAGCCCGACCAATCACGTTAGAGTTTTTGACAAACACAAATGTATTAACACCCTTCAAATAATCACGCTAACCAACCTGATTGGTCAAGCTTAATAGTTGACTGCTAGAACTAGACACTTCTTATATTTTCGTTTTGGGAGCGGGATCTCCCGTTATCGTCGTAATATCGGGAAGATCCGTGCCGTTCGCTTCTTCGAAATTTACGATTCAAACAGCTAATATTTAATTGTTACTTGTTTTATACAAGTACGATTCTTTAAAAATAACCGGCTATAGGTTATTGAAGGTAATGCAAGGTTATTAGGTTAATTAGTGAAAAAAAAACTACCTTTAAATAACCGGTTATTTTAGAGGAAAATACCGGTTATTCAAAAAACCGGTTACTTTTGCCCATCTCTAGTTTTAACCTTAGAAAATAATGAAAATATTTTTTTTTATTCTGAATATTTTATGTAATATAAAAGAAAATTTAGAGGAAAAACCTTCTTTTATATAGCACACCCATGCTGATGTTAAACTACAAAGTACGTATTATATTTTCATTCGGTAATTTAACATGTTTTGTTGCATTTTGTACTTGTGTAATCTACAAAAACAGTTATCAGAAAACCAATTTTAGAACTTTGGGCGTGAAGTAATACAGCGATATGAAATCTTTTGAGAAGAAAGTATAATAAATAAAGGAAATAGCAAGTTTGGAAAGCAATATGATATTTTCCTGTAGAGATAACAGTATACATAATGTTCGTAGTACACGTAAGGTAAAAAGATTTCACTTTGTTTAAGTAACTTGTTTATCTGTAATAATGTATGAAATAATGAAAATAGGAAAAATGTATCAGCTTTTAATGAAGTAATTGAAATATTTGAAAGCGAAAGAAACTATAGAAATCAGCCAAACTAATGGGTACTTACATTTTACTGAATTTTATCATTTATAACTGAATTTGCACTTACGAATCCATCATTGACAGTTCTCTTTTATTGTATATTATTTTCTATATTTTAACATCATAAAATATATATTTTAAACGTTTGGATATATTTTATTCTCAATATTTTATTATTTGTAGCAATGTATATAGTATTTCTTAATGCTAAGGTAATGCTCTTTATGGTTCTCATTTTTTTTTGTTAAACTGCACATTTAGAAGTATTGTAATTTAGTTGTTTAATTTTAGGAAATATATACATATAGTTAATATAATTTTTTAGATACGTTAGCCAGGATTAAAAATTACTTTGAAACTCGTGTAAATATATTTTCTAGATGCAAAACACTAATTGTTTGTAGGTTGTGAGTATTCTAAATATGTTTTTGTGTTTCTTTTTAGACATGTTACGAATACCTGACACGAGTTTAGTCTCCACACATCTTTTTGCAGAGGAGGAAATGATGGTGATCTCGGACAAAGGTACTTAATTGGAAAAGGAAGTGACTGGTGAGGCTTAATCTTTGAGCAAGGGTTAAATGTGACGCAGGAAGTTGTAATAGGCATTGAGAAACAAAGGCTTGAGATAAATGAAGGCTTATATAAAACAGTTCAGCCTTGTCTACAACTACAACTTTGAAACTAAACAAAGTAAGTTTTATTTTTTTATCAATTTCTTATAGGAGAAAATGTATTTCTTGTAGTTTTTCATTTATTTTAGTCAAATTATTAATTATAAATCGTAACGAGCATGAGCATTTAGTTCTTTTTAGTTTTTAATTTTACTGGTTGCCTATCCAATCCTTTAAAAAATTAAAACTAATTCCAAGAACAAAAATTATAACAATGTGTATTTCTAAATATATATTTCAGATTATTCAGTAAATATAAAAAATACTGCAATTAACTTTTTAAAGAAATATTAATTTATTGTTTTCTTTTTTCATTTTAGAAATAAAAACCATCAGGTTGGGTTGGCCATCGGGCTCCCAATTTTCCTTATTTACAAGAAATTTGAAAAGCAATGGCAAGAGTTTTTGTGACATTCGGAACATTTATTTGAATTAGACCTATCTACAGGGTGATACAAGTACCAGTTCACAGACACAACAGAAGATATGGATATAGTTTAATTAAACAGTTATCAAGGTCAATATAAAATGTTGCCACTAAAGGTACAGCATAAATAAAAAATAATAATATTCTGTTTATGCTGTTTACAAATTATCTCAACACAATATACACCATACATGAACAAAATACACTATACATTACACACAATCTTATTAGTGTTTCTGTTTTTTTTTAGCGTAAGGCATGATAATTAATTAATAATAGGAAGGTCTGTAGGAAACGTCAACGAACAAGAACCAAATTTAGGTAATTATTGCTTTTAATTCTTTAATTATTACTCTTAATTTAATACTCTTCTATTTATATATCTATCATTGGTAAAGATATTCAACATAATGTTAATATTTAGTAAGACAGTTACACTTATATAATAATATATTAATTAGTTTTTGAGAAATTATATTTTTTATAGAATTTTTAACTAGTTTTTTAAATAAGCGCCTTCGCCATTTTGTCAGGAATATAGATTTTTTGGCTCTGTCAATATATTTTTAATAATAGTTTCGACTAATAAAAAATCAATACAAATAACGTACATTTTAGGTGTAATAGTTCAACAGTTAATAAGCACTAGAAAGGTATGTTTGACCTAGTAGAAAGAAAAATGAAAGAAGTCCCTCAAATGAATTTGGTGGATTTAAAGATTTTTATAGACGATTCTATGAATCTCTGTGACCTAATTGTTAAAACAAAGAAAGCTTACAAAGTGATTATAATTTTTTGTATCATTCTTCTGAGACTTTTCTAAGTCATGCATTTTTTTTTAATTCTCTGTACCTCTATTTCTTCATTTGTCTTCCATATTGTCTTCATTCTATGAAATTTATTATTTCTATGTATATACTTTTTATTTTGTTTCTAAATCCATTTAAAATTGGGTTTTTGGATGGGATATTGTACTACTTTGGATTTTTTGGGACAGCTGCACTTCAACCACACTCTTCAAGATGCCGTTAGGTTGATTAAATTCAACAATCAACAGTGAAATGAGAATAGAATTCATCATTGAAGAGGAACTAAATATCTTTAGGTAAATTATATTAAAGATTGTTTTTTAAATCAAATATATTATCAATTAATTTCGCCAGCGAAATTGCCACGGCCAAAAATGCTGCACTTCGCGAAGCAGGAGCTCGCGTACTGGAGTCCTTCGATTACTTAGGTAAAGTAGTTCCCAGCCATCTCTGACGCTTTTTTTTATCTTGCTGTACTTTTTTAAACAAAGAAAGTACCATTTACGATAAAACCCTTTTTTCAAGGCAAACGCACTGAATTTTTTATTAACTTTGATTAAATTATCTTAAAATACCGTACGATCGAAAAAAAAACGCCGTCGAGTTGGCTTGGAAATGACGATTGATCACATTCCTCATATGTAAAAGTTTCTAGCCGTCTCTGACGCCGTTTTTTTATCCTACGGTATTTTTTTTAAACAAAGTAAGTATCATCGAAGATATACTTACTTAAAAAAGGTTTTATCCTTGACTGAAATAGTTATGAAGATGGTTCAAGCTATCCTGTAGATTTCCCTCTTTTTTTTTAATTAAACATTAACCATAGTAATCTTAAAGCCCGGTATACACGTAACTACTTAGGTAAGATAACGTACAATTGAATGAAATCGGCGTAGAGTTGGCTTGGAAATGACGACGGTCGATGATATTTCCCATGAAAAAGTTAATAGCTAGACGTCTATGACGGCGTTTTTTTTTTATCCTACGGTATAATAACCTTATTAATCTTAAAGCTTCGTCTACAGATAACTACTTAAGTGATATACCGTACGATTGAAAAAAAAACGGCGTCAACTTGACTTTGAAATGACGACCGATGACATTCCGCTTATAAAAGTTCCTCCTAGCCATCTCTGACGCCGTTTTTTTTTCAATCTTACGGCACTTTCTTTGGTTGAAATATTTATAAAGATGATTTAAGCTATCCTATAGATTCTTCCCCGTTGTTTAATTAAATAATAACCTTAACAATCCTAAAGCTTCGTCTACACATTACGTTTTACTTGATACGTTTTGTCTGGACAGGTAAGACTGACAGGTAAAGCGTTGCGTATAGCCGATGCTTTATGTTTTATCGTAAAACATAAAGCATCGTCGTTTTTTACAGCATTTAAAAATTAAAAAAAAGAAGAAACTTGGACACATATCGCTTTTAATTTTCCGAATTTTTAATAAAGCACTTTTTAAACGTAGCATAATAACACAAAATAAATAATCTAAGCAATTAGATTAATTATAGGAATCTAGAGTTTTATTTCTATTTAATTTTATTGACTATGAAAATACATAATAAGCGTTCACGTGTTGTGCGAAATATTAAAATAATAATATAAATAATACCGTAATATATGATCGAAAAAAATAGCGTCAGCCATGACTATGAAATAAAGATCGCTGTCATTTTATATGTAAATTTATGGCAAATGTACTCAATCGTCATTTCCCAGCCAACTGGACGCCGTTTTTTCGCTCATAATTTGTACTTATTAATATATTTTTTCTTGTAACTAAAGGATTTTTCAGCTTAATTAAATTTCAAATTTGAAAATTGTGGCGCCAAAAGTTGAACAGATACATCCGGTAAGAGCTGTCAACATTGAGTCAAGTTAAAGACTTTTGAAGTTTTTTTTTATATAATTTATCTCATATTTCTTACTATTTAACTATATAGAATTAGTTTCTTATTAAACTAGGGATATTTATTGAATAAAAACACTTGTTTCTTAATAATTTATTAAAATATTAAAGAAATGCATGATTTTATAGTTCATCTAATTATGTGCGTACCAGATAATTTCAATATAAAATAAGTTTTGTATGATATTTTATACTGGAGGGAATAAATACAAATAAAGACAAATCGTTTAATTAATTTAAGAAGCATCTGTGGAAGCATATTATTCTACTGAAATTTTAATAAAAACCATCCATGTTTACTAAAAAAAAATTAAAATCTAGGCATCCAAGAGCAAAAAATACTCGATCGTGATTGGTCAGTTTCGGTTGCGTGGAGGTTTTGAATTTTATTCTCATTCAATGTTGTCGGATTGTTAAAAAATGTCGCAAATCTTTTTCTCTATGTGATTTTTGTAAATTTATATTAGTTTAAATTGATCACTAGCACTATAGTAAGGGCCTTTTCTATATATTTTTAATAAAACAAGTACCAGTAATGTTGTTTTGTAGAAATTTCTTTTATTTCTTCTTGTAATTACGTACTAACATTATAGTCTTTCTTCTTGGTTTCGATGTATTTATAGCATTAAAAATGTATTTAAACAGCTTCATTTTATGTTTATTTTATGATTTTTGTGTGTTTATGTTTATAATTACTTATTTATTTCTTATTTACGACAATAAAAATATTTTACCTTACGTAAAAAACGATTTTAGTGGAACGTATTTAGTAAATAATAACTTTTGAGGACGAAATTAAACTTAATTTACAAGAATTTTCCTATAAACAATTTTATTAGTAATAATTAAATTAATTTTATGAGCAGCTTAAATTTTACGAATCACTTTAATCTGACAACGCCGGTTATCCTTTGGTCGTTTGCAATATCCACACGTCCTCCCGTCCCTTTCATCGATTTTTTTAAATTTTCTAACGAAAAAGTGCGTTTAGTGTACACAATTTATGCGTAATCTGTTACTAGTGCCCTGCTTAGCCTCCTGAAAAAGTGAGTACCCGTAATTTTATGTATTTTTTGAGATATTTTAGTTTAAATTTTTTGGATTTCGCAATAAAGGGCAATATCCATCATGGCTGCCTTGTTCTCAATGTTTCCCATTAACTTATTAATTTTTAAGAATATTGTTTAAATAATATACGTAGATTAATAAATAAGTATCTAAAACTATGTATTTTCGGTACTTTCTATACTGCGTGTTACATAAGCGGGTAAAATAGTACTACATTTTTGGTAAATTACGTAGTGTATCTTTGACTTTTTGTTTAATTTTTTCGGTCAAGGAATGTTTAAATAAAATGGCCGCCTGTTGAAATTCCATGTCTTGATTTTTTGTAAATTGCTATTTTTAATTTAAATTTCTTTTTATAGGGCATATTTAGAGTTTTCTTTATCTTTTAAAAATATAATATGCTCATTTTAATAATATTTTGAATGAGTAGGTTTTTTGTATATGTTTTAAATAGCTATGTTCATTAGGAATTTTATTACGTATTTTTTTTATTTAAGAATCCCACATATTTATGTATGTCTCAGCATTTTTTAATGATTTCTGATATTGGTATTTTAAAATATATTTCTCTTTTAAAGCGCGTTTTGTAATATTACATGTTAAAAAATAGTATTAATGTTGACAAATGATTTTTGCTAATTCAGTATTAGTTGTAAATTTGCATTGAAGAAATAAATCAATTGTTACTGAATTTTTATAAAAATTAAAATATTTCGAAAACAGTTAGTATGTTTATTTTGAGGTAAATTTTGATCGAATGTTTTTTATGTCTGCATAGTAGAAACTAAAAATGTAATAAAATATATAGGATGTCTCATTGTTAAAAAAATATAACTTTAATATTTTTTATTTATTCGAAACACTGTAGGTTTAACTTTTAGCTCTAAATAATTTGTTACAACTCTAAAAACTCCTTGTATATTTATGTATGTGTTACATCATGGAAAAATTCTTTGGATTTTGACCATATTCATCAAATTTATATCCCTTTTTCCCTAGGTCATATAACATCTTTATATTTTTGATATTTTTGGTATAATAATATAATCAAGGAAAAATCTTATAAAATATTGCTGAGGTATAAATGGAGCATCTCTTTTTTCATCTAAAATAAATATACCTATTTATATATTGTCGTAATATTTTTATAGGTGTTCGATAATATTTTTATAGGTATCCCAATATTTTTTCTTTTTTTAGGCGCGTTATATTAATACTACAACACCACACACTCCTTCCCCACTCACACGAGCATTGCTAGCTCTCTGTGTTGGTTAATAAAATTTCCTAATTCAACATTAGTGAATTTCGTTAGCTGATGCGGTTGGTTAACAGTGTTTTTGTCGGTGTGGATTCCCGGGCTTAAGATGACTCCAGAGCGCGGCGCGGCCTTCCCCAAGAGAGGAGACTTCTTGGGTCACCCCCTAACTCTGATGTTCGGGCATCGATGACCTGTGTAGCATGCAGAGGTACCCAAGGGAGTCACCACCCTCTGGTTTACGAGCTAGGTGTTCTAATGCTAGAGGCTTCGGCCGGATACAACCTGGCACCCAAGCTCCGAGACTTCTTCGTGCACGTATTCCGTGACCCTCGAAGAGGCAGGGGCGGGATATCGGACACATTGAAGATGATGAGGGGGTCCGCCTGTAGGGGTCCCCGGTGGATGTCCGTCCGACGGGTGACGAGGGTGGCCCCAGACGAGGCGGCTTAATTGGGATGGGAACTGACTGGTGAGGCTTAATCGTCGACCAATGGGTCGAATCTGCATAAGGAAGGCAACCAGCACACACTCGCAGGCATGTCGTGGAAACATTTTTTTGTTTTTTGTCTTGGTCTGCCCCGCGTCGAATTTTGAAGGCAGAAAATGTCGGGAGGAGGCGAGCATAACCAGGCCTAACTTAAACCTGTTAAAAGTAAGTCTATTTTTTTATATTACATTAAATTGTAAACTTTTACTGTACTCTCTACCAAATAACTTTTCTATCGCAGCATGTAGCACTCAAAATTCTTTTTATATAAAGTGTTGTATATTTTAGTTTTTTTGTTACAACATACATGAGCTTCAATTTAAGGTAGAATAATTTGTATAGTAATTAGAACAACTTTTTTAAAACTTATAGTAGATATAAGTTTAAATTCTAATTTAACTTGTAGTTACTTATATAACTATTTTTTTTTTTCATTTCTTTAGGACAACCCGGGTTCGCAGCGCGATTTTAAAAAACGAGATGATCAGTCCCAAAAAATTTCGGATTGTTCCAGGCTCCGTCGAATACTTGGAAAACGTGTTTACTGTCAACTCTACAGGATCGACCGAAGTCCATGGAGTTGGGGGCATTCGATGTGCCCTATAGCAGTGAGACGCCACTGTTTTTTTCGCCGTATAATTATTATGGTGGGACTGAAAATGAACTTAAGCAAGATGAGATGGTGAGTTTTTATATTTTTACATTGTTTTTTTTTTTGTTGTCTATAGCTTGTTTTTTGTTTCTTCTAGCATATGTATTTGTTAGAAATATTCTAATATTTTATATTTTTTTCTCTTACAGGTGATACAGTATGGCTTGGAGAACTTCAAAAGTCGGTTCGCGTCGTGGTTCCAAAGCAGTAACTTTAGGTTCCCTACATTTACAGAATGTTGCATTAAGTACTCATTTTTTAATTTGCAATTTTTATATTTCATTTTTACTTTTTTTCTTACTCTATACAAGGCTTTAATATAAAGTTTTTTTAGCAATAATAAATGGGTAATAAAAAAATAACTCCAAAGAGACAAAATTAGGTATCATATTGTTTTTCTATTATATTTGGAAATATCTATTTTTCGTCTTATTTTAAAATTGGTAATATTTAATTTTTTTAATAGTAATTTTTAATTAAACGTAAATTAGTAAATAATGTAATTTCACATTATAATGAGAATTAAAGTATTAGTAATTTATTTTTGTTACTAAAATTAAATTAAGCTGCATATGAATCTTTTTAGTACTAAACTGCTTTGGAATGAATTTTTTGGGGGGACAACAGCAGGATTAGAGCCATCTTCTAGATGCCATCAGGTAAATTTATATAACTTTATATTTATCATTTTCATTGACTAAAAAAAGTGTTTTTCTTTTTTTAGGTAGGTGCGCTAGCGTAGTCGTTTGTTGTAGCATTATATCCCCTTTCCCCCTTTTTAAAAATGTTTGTAAGACGCCTGAAATTTGTATAAATTAGTTATATAAGTGGTCGAATAAGTATTGGTGAGACTTGGAAAATAGAAGAGGACAGAGAAGAGGATTGCTTTGAAATAGAAGGAAAGGAGATAGAAGATGTTTGAGGAAAGGAGGAGGATTTTGTTTGCTGTAACGGAAGTTTTTTGAATGAAATTTGGAGCAACTGTATTAAGGTAATTTTTTTCATCTAGTTACAAAAAGTAAATACTTATCACAACTTTTATTTTATTTATAGATGTTATTGGTATCTTGGACATCAAGTTTCATTTATTTATGTATTATATGCATATTTATTGGTGGAAATGTAGAATGGCAGCTGTTATAACAACTTGGATGGATTATTAGAAACACCAAAGAACTTTTGACATAATTTAAACTGCGAAAAGGCTCACAAATAACCAATTTATTCTACAGTAGACACAGGACATTAAATTGACTTCAACAACGCAGATATCTCTCAAAAATGGTAAGTTTTTTTCACATTATTTTCTTTCCTATTAAAGTTTTTGGAAAGCTTGGAATTTTGGTTTGGTTAGGTTAGGTTAGTTAGTTGACATATTTTACACATAATGTGTATATTTCAATAACTTTAGGTGCAATATTTAATTTTAAATTTATTAGGCGAATTTTTTTATTCAAATCAACTTAATTTTGTATTTTGCTTATCTATATTGATATTACAATGTTTTCATTTATCTACATATATAAAATGCTAATGTTTATCTGTGTCGTCTCTACTGAAGTAACGACTTGCTCTAGAATGTTTTTTTTTTACTAAAAGATAGCTAATTGGCTCTTCTAAAAACTGTCGTCGCCGGATTTTTTGTTTTTTATTTAATTAAAAAAAAATAAAAAGTATTTTTTTTTCTGATGTGGCGGATGCGCCAGGCTTCAACTTGTTTATTTTAATTTTCTACATTGATACAAATTAATATACTTATTAATATTTGTTTATTTTTTAATTTTTAGATATCGGTTCGAGTGATGTACTGGGCGTTAATAGTTGCTGTTACAAAACTTCAAATGAGTTACTACTGTACATAAGTTGGAGGAATGCCAAGGAATTTTTTGAATAAAGTGATACTGGAAATCTTACTCACAAATGACAATTTTAAGATACAATCAATAGTATTTGGATTGATTGGCCTTCATTACCGTTGCGCTATGAAAATGGTAAGTTATTTTTATTTTTTTATTATTTTTTAAGTCTACAATTTATGTATTTAACTGCAAAATTGTAGGCTTCAAATTCAAAATAAAATAAGTTTGAGATTGAAAATATATATTAATATATTTTTTTAAATCTCTGTAGTTATTTACAAATTTGTATCAGACTATTTTAATTTTATTTAGTATGTTTTCTTTTTGTAAAAATCTATGAATATTTGAAATATTTTAAAGAGTTACTATTGCGTTTATTTTTTTAATATCTACCTAACGTATTAAAAAAAACAAAATTTTTTATTCCAAAATGTGTGAAGAAACTGATTTTATAAAAATTTACTTATTTATTTTTTGTATTTTTAGTAAGCAATACAAATTGGTATTAATGGACGTTTTGACAGCTGTTTTCAATCCAAGTTCCAGTTTTAATGGAAAATCTTTAATGGACACTGAAAAATGCCATTTACTGGATTGACTTCAACACCTGTTGTCTTTTAATAATGGTAAGTTATGCCTCTCAACTTATTCTTATAAAATTTATTATAAAAATATTAAATTTTATAAAAATATATCTTTTAATTTTATATCTTATAAAAATATTAAATTTTCCATCGTATTCAAGTTCTTTTGGTCCAATATTAACATGGTCTATTTTTATTTTAACTAAAACAATAATAAAAGATTATTAAAGGCAGGACAAAATAAAATACAGACACTGTATTACTGGTTGCATATAGCGATCTTGGAAAAAAATGCAGTTTTTAAATCTGGTTTTAATAATTATTAATTATTAAAGTTTCCACTAAGATAAGCACAATAAAATTACGGTATGGTAAATATAAGTTGATTTTTTTTATTTTGATATTTTTAGTACAGCAGATACCTTATTTATATTTTTATCGATCGTTAAAACCGCAAATATTAATATAAAAATTATAATTATTTTTTATTAGAGTTCATTTAAGATCTTTATTGTATGTGACTTATTTAAATTGGTATAATAGCCGTATATTTATGATTTTACATAGTTCTAAACAAGTTCTAAATATTAATATTTTTTTTGTTTTTAAAAATCTTTAAAAATTGATTCATTAAAAAATTACTTAATACTTTTTTTGAATTTTAGGTATACAATGGGACAATTGGTGTTAGAAGTCAACAAGTAGTACTAGTTGCAAATAATATATTATGGCGGCCATCAAAAAACTTTAAATGAAATGAAAGTTGCAGAAAAAGACTCAGAGGACTGTACTTAATAGCTGTTAGAGTGGATGCAGTCCTTCATCAATGGTAAGTTATTTCAGGCGTCTAAATGCTAAACCTGACAAGTCCATTGAAATCAATTTTACAAAATACATTAAAAATTATTTAAAATGTTATGAATAGTAGAAAGAATAATAAATCTGCCTGACTGAATTTATCTGGTGTATTATTTCTTGAAAATATTTTGCATAAAAATGTAATTCAGAGTTTCTCTTGGGATAACGAATTAAATGCTCTATAGATCTCAATTTTTCAAAATGAGTCACTTGTCGGGTTTTGCATTTAGACGTCTCATTTATTTATTTAATTTTTTTTTATTAAATTTCTTTAACAAGGTTGAAAATTATGATAAATTTAGTATGGACAAACTGACGTCATAATTTTTTTTATTGCCTATTTAAATTTTTTATATTTTAATTTTTTTTTGTGCTTTCAGTGAGCTGAAGAAATTGATGGTAATGGACATTTTGACAGCTACTGTCACAACTCAACGAACAAGTTGCAGCTTTGAAGGAACATTTTTGATTGGATACAGAAAGATGTCAGTCGTTTCAGGATGTAAAGTTAATAGAACCAGGGTCGGGCTCGACATCTGTTGCCTTTTAATAATGGTAAGTTATTTTGATCATTTTATATACAAAGATTTTCATACAACTGGTTCATTAAAAGTTTTTCACGGTATATATTTTTCTAAGTCCTGTAACTGGTTTAATTTGGACTAAATTTAATTTTAAAACACTTTTAATGGACTAGTTACGTGAAATACCCTGTATATATTGTCATAAAGTGGCATTGATGAGCTTGAAAATTTTGTAAAATGATTAAATTTTGCAGAATATTCGTACTCCGCAGTTTGTACAGTTGGCATTTTATTTTGCCCTAAATTTTAACAGGTTTTAACTTTTTTTATTTTAGAAGCTAGAACATTCATTGAAAAAAAAAGAAATTATAAAGTTTTAGTTCAAGTTTTACTGTGTATTTTTTTAAATGGAAGACTCTATACATTAAAAATATATTAGATGGCAAATTTTTTAATTTCTGAAAGACACTCGTGCCCTTTCTTTGTAATAGTTTTATCAAAATTTAATAAAAAATACACCATAATTATTATGTTTATTTCTCTTTTTTTAATTTATAGGGCATTTCACTTAAAAATATACAGTTTTACCAATAACTGGGTGATACTTGAGAGTGTATGACATTTATAATAATAAAACCGCATTAAAACTTGACTGGAAAACTAATATAATTGTTTTTTTTTAATTTTTTAAGCTCAAAAAAATAAAAAGTTATGGCCAGTTAAAGTTGCAAAAACTACAATGCTAACAGTGTTTTACTGGTTGCATATCTTTAAATTTATTTCAAAATTTTTATTAAAGTTATCACCAAAATTACTAAATATTATTTTTTTCTTTTTCTATATATCTAGTAAATTAGATATTTATTTTTTGGTTTATTAGTAACTCATTATAATAATGTTTTATTTCCTTATCAAGGAATTTTACAATTTTTTATATCATTCCTGAAGTTATCATTAAAAGTTTTTTTTAAATTTTATACAACTCTTTATAGCTTATTCAAATTAATATAAAAAATGTCTATTATTTGTTATGTTACATAGTTCTAAATAATAATTTATGTTATTGTCTGTTTTCTGATAGCTTCAAAAATTGCTATAATAAAATATTACCTAATTTTTTTTTTATTTAGGCATACGATAGGACAATGGCTATTAGAAATCGATAAGACATACTAGCTGCAAATAATATGTATGATGGTCATAAAAGAGATTTAAATGAAATGAGAAACTCTTGTGCAGAAGAAATCAAGGAAAACCATTTTGAACTGCTGTTACTTAATAGCTGTTAGAGCGGATCCAGTTCTTCATCAATGGTAAGTAATTTATCTATCTTTTTTTAATTTCATTGGACAGCTTGATTTTTTTTTTAATATATACAAGCGTTTTTGTTCCAATATTAGAAAAGCCAACAACTATTAAAAATAGGCAGGACATAATAAAATGCTGATACTGTATTACTGGTTGCATATTGTTACGGATTCTGTTTGTCCACTAATTTAAACTCACGATAAAATACTTAACAGATTTATTTTCGCACTATATACACATAATTTATTGCTGATTACAACACACAATTAACTATTTAAAAAAATCCTTCGCCAAATTGTCAACATTCGCTATTCAAAACTGTTTGGTTTAAAATTACAGAACTCGTCACACACACCTTGACGATATATTAATGTTCCCACTAGAATAAACGCAATAAATATATACATATTTTAATAAACAAGAAGAAAAATGGTTACGAGTTGTTAAGGGCTGAGCCGTTTAATATTTTTCTTCTATTTTAATAAATATAATTTTAATTAATCTTTTTTGTTTTGTTTTTATTAATCTTGTTTTTAGAAATCTTCCAAAATTAATATAGTTAAAATTTACTTAATATTTTTTTGGAATTTTAGGTATATGCTGGGACAATTGCTGTTAAAAATCCACAAGCCGTACTATCTGTAAATATTATGGTGGACATGAAAAAGCTTTAAATGGAATGAAACTTACAAGAAAAGACTTAGAAAGACCATTTAGGACTGTACTTAATAGCTGTTGAAAAGTGGTCGCAGTCCTTTATCAATGGTAAGTTATTTATCTCTTTTTTCTTACTAAATTTCATCGACAAGCTTGAAAATTATGATAAGGTTTCATAATATTCAAGCTGCACAGGTCTCTGAGGTCAACGCCTATTGCTATATGATATTTATTAAATATTGATATAAAAACTTGTCAAAAATAATATTTAAATGAAAAAAAGGAAAAAGGTTTTAAACATACCGATTATTATTCAAAGGTGAAAACCTTAATTTAAAAAAATATGAGCTTTACATTCTTTTAACATTTCATTATTTAATTTTTATACTAATTTTTTTTAAATGATATATTGTGGTCTACCTGACAGAAATAATTGTCATCAATAATTGTTATTTTAAAAGCCACTATAATGCTGTTTTTTTTTCTCATAGGGTATATACAAATTATTAATTTAAAAAACATAGTTATTGCATTAATGAAAATATATTTATTTTAATATTTACATAGATCGTTTTATTCCTTTTTTTAATATTATTTTTATTTTATTTTTTAGATATCTCTGCATTTTCTTAACAATGGATATCAACAGTTGCTCCTACTCCTCACTTTCCTCTTTCACTCAAAATAAAGCAGACTCAATACTTCTCAATGCCTCACCAAGGTTCGTTAGCTTCATTAATATTGTTATTGTTTCAATAAATTTGTTTACTGGTTTTTATCCTGTTCTTAACTATTTAAGTATATCAGGCGTCATATTAGTGTCATTGATTATTTGTAAAATTTTGATAATCTGGATAAAAATCTTTTTTTTTTTAAATAGGACCATTATTTCTGTTTATATTATCTTTTTATTTATTTATTTTGATACTCTATTTATAATCTAATCGCCTCTAGTTTGAGGCATGTTTGATTAATTTTAAATCATTAAAATCTATGCATTAATCTTTATGAAAAATATGTTGAGCAATATTATAGTAATCTGTTATAATTTCTCTTAAGCTTTTTTTCAATCTCATTTATCTTTTATTTTTGCATTCATTAAAGGTCATTAGATATTGTAATTATTAATTAAATTGTTAGTTGTATTATAACGTAATATTTTTTTAATAGAATTAAAGACATTCTTTATAAATTTGTATCATTACCAATTATTTATAGTAGTAGTTTTTTAGTTATTTTTAATTAATTACTCTAAATTTATTCCGGATTATCAAAATTATAAATGTTATGCTTGCGCAGCTGCGTCACTATAGCTCTATGAACACGAGTATTATTTTGGTTTTAAAGTTTATATTTTTACATATTTTATTTATAATAAATACATATATCTACGATCAGATGATAATTTAATAGTAATGGTCAATTTAATCATTTTTATAAGTTCTGGATTGATTATTTTTAGTAAAATAATCCATTTTGTTAATACTTGTGTTCATATAGTTTTTTTTTGCTTTTGTGAATTATTTTTGGTACCCTAGGACAGGATGGGGTGGTAAAGGGAATAATTGCCCCTCCCAGAAAGTAATTTATAAATAAAATAAAAATAATGACAATTCCAAGTTTATTTTTTTCCCACGATTACTAAAAAACCTTTTAGCAAAAATTTCATTCAAATCTACTAGTTTACTTAAATATCGCAATTATTCCTCCCAGATCCAGTCTGTAGATGCGCCACTGGCCTAGGGACGGATGTTTTTTCATGACTGATCAATTTTTGTCATTATAAAATATTTTTTTTTTCAAACGTCACAAAGTATTAATTTTTGCGACGTGATTGACAATATAAAAAATATTTTAATGCCTAGGCATAAAAATACGAAAAAATATATTATTAAACTGACATTAAGTGTCAAATTTAACTAGCGTAATCATAGTTTCTCGATATATAATTACTTACTTTTAAATGTTTTTATTTTATTTGCGTCGTTCTTTGTGTTTAAATCATTGCATCAATTATTTGTGACGTTTGAAAAAAATAGTATGTTCTATTCGGAGTAAAAATGACTTTTTGTGCCTCGCCTGTATGTCGAACGTACAGCGTCGCCACAAAAAGTATCATTTTTACTCCTAATAAATCGATATACATACTATTTTGTATTGTTTTATGTCATGTGTAATATAGTCTATCCAATGAGAGGAGCCCTGACAGTGACAGTTGTGTGTGTCATTTTAATTAACAGGTAAATTGTATTTTCTGTCATTTTTAAGAATGTCATCTGTCAAACTCTCCTTCGGCTCATTGAACAGGCTATATGACGTAAGCCATTTTGTATATATTTGTAATAATAATAATTTTAATGCAGCGAAATGGAACAAATTCGATAATAAATAAATAGGAATATGTCGTATAAAACGCTTGCCCACGTGGACTGACAAGATTTTTATACAGGGTTCGTCATGAAACAGTCGCTAATACCGATTTTCTATTGTATATTCTAAAATCTAGCGCATCTGTCATAACATAATACAAATTAACTTAACAATTTTATTTTTTACATACAACATTGCTGTTTGTCCTAATTTTAAACAAAAATTATACTACTTATTTATATCTTTTTCAATTTTTTTGTAAATAAATAAAAAATAAAAAGTTTTTGGTCAAGTTTTAATTTTAAATTAGCAAACATGTCATAAGCTCTCAATCGTTACAGTTATTGGTATAAACATGTTTAATGTTTTACCCTGTATATTAGGAGTGTATTAAATAGCACTTTTTTTCTGATTTCAAAGATTATCACACATGCTTTTTAATTTTAACAGTGTAAAAATGTTGTAAGTTGTCAATTTTGTTAGTGTTATTGGTATGAAATGTATGTTTTTAAAATGGGACACCCTGTATATTAAAAGTAAATATGATAGCAGATTTTTTTATATCAAATATATATTACACATTCTTTTATTTTTAACAGAGACAGAGTATATTCATATTATATCTAAATATATTCTAAGATCGCCTAGCGCATTCGCCATAATATAAACTAAGCGAAACTATTTATTTTTTTAAATAATATTTATTATCGCATTTATTCCATATTCATTTGTCTTGCTCGAAGTTCTGTAATTAATTATCTAGAAGTACATGGGGCACCATCTGTTTGTTATAACGCTTCTTTTTTAATATTTTGTCTGTGATATTTCAACTTAAAAACTTTGTGTTTGACGTTAGAATTATTTGCAAACGCTTCTTAAATATAAAATCGGATAATTAGTGGGTTTTTTGGCTTATTCGTAAAAAAACTTTCGATTTTTACGGACATGAGTTACATTTTTGCTAGCCCACTTCGTATTCTTGATACAGAACGAATTTGAAAATGTGGCAGTGTCAGATCCCTTCGTATCACAGTTATAAATAATTTTATGATTTTTTCGAAGAATCCAGTGAACTTATTAGTTTCTATTTTTGAAATTTTGACCAATGTTTATCTTTAATTGGGACAACCTGTATATTACGAAATTAATTCGTCCTTTTACAAGCGTATTAAAAATAGATGACACTGTGTCATTAAAACATGCAATATTTTTTTTTAGAAGAATCTTTACAAGCTTTTTTTTACACCCGGTAGGGTGTCCCATTTAAAAACAAAGTAAACATTGGTCAATATTTGGTATATAAAATTCTTAAAAGAAAAACTAAATAATTCTTTGGGTTCTACGTAAATAGTTTTATTAAAAGGCGTTTTTATCTTTTTGACATATCAGGCTAGTGAGATACGAGGGGTGTCTGAAATGCAACATTTTTATTATTTAAAAAAAAGCATCATTAAAAAAAAACATCATCCTTAGCATGAAAACTGCGAAGTTTAACTGCTATGTTGGTTTCACTTAAATGTAACTCCAGTTTGTAGAAACTGTTAGGTTCTATTAATAAGTCAAAAAACCTCAATTGCAACTAAAATGGATACTCCTGAGTCATGTACAGACTGTCCCATTTTGGTTGCAATTGATGATATCTCGGTCATAAGCAACCTTGAGCTAAATAGTCATGGCTTCCTTAGACCTTAGGAGTTTAGGAGACTATGACTAAAGGCTTGTTGACACGGTCCAAGTGTTATTGGACCTAGTACACTTGGATGCCATATAAGTATACTTATATTATGTATTCTACGCGCGTGGCTTGTTTGTACGCTGCTTGTATCTTATTAACTGTTTTATCCAAGTCGAGTTGGAAGGCTTTGTAACATCAAAGTAAGTCGGTAGCAAGCCTACTTGGATGTTATGAAGTTTTCCAACTCTACTTTGAGAAAACAGTTGATATCAACCATACAAATGCGTACGTAAGAAGCGCGCAACATCCTTAAGTATATTTATATGGCAATTATGGCAGCATCCAAGTGTATTTTGACCGAAGTATATCTGTACCGTGTCAACCGGGCTTAATGGAGAGATAACCCTCTTTTGCAACCACAGTGCGATGTAAATACTTGTATATAGGCACTTTTCATCATCCAGTATAAAATAAATAATCATTGTTTAAATCCATCCTTCTTGAATCTATGTTATGTAGTAATTTATCATAAATAAATAAACCTATTGAAATGAAAATAATTGTTTTTTAAAACGTGTGCACGTGGCGCCCTCTGGTGGTAATGCCCGGAACTAAAAATGATAGCAGCGCCCTCTGGTGTTAATGCCCGGAACTAAAATGATAGCAGCGCCCTCTGGTGTTAATGCCCGGAACTAAAAATGATGGCAGCGCCCTCTGGTGTTAATGCCCGGAACTAAAAAAATGCTAGTGGCGCCCTCTGGTGTTAATGCCCGGAACTAAAAAGGATAGCAGCGCCCTCTGGTGGTTAATGCCCGGAAATAAAAATGACGGCAGCGCCCTCTGGTGTTAATGCCCGGAACTAAAAATGATGGCAGCGCCCTCTGGTGTTAATGCCCGGAACTAAAATGATAGCAGCGCCCTCTGGTGGTAATGCCCGGAACTAAAAATGATAGCAGCGCCCTCTGGTGTTAATGCCCGGAACTTCAGTGCATATGTACTTTAGTTCGGTACATTGACACTAGGGCGCGCCACATAAACTAGTGTGCTTAATAAATTGTTTACTATAAAAAAAACAAATATTAAATTCATTATTTTGCGTATATTTGGTACATAAAATTTACATTAAAGAGAGAGGAATAAGGTATTAAAATTTACATTAAAGAATTAGGTATTTTTGACAGCATGTTCTAAGAACACGCTGTAAGTTTTTTGCAGCAAGTTCTAAAGCCTGGTTGACTTGGACTAAGTTACACTTGGATGCTGCCATAAAAGTATACTTTTATATGGATGCTGTGCGCGCCTCACTTGTAAGCTGATTCTATTTTGTCAAAGTCGAATTGGAAAGCTTTGTAGGATGATATGAAGCTTTCCAACTCGACTTGGATAAAACAGTTGATACGATACAAACAGCGTACAAGTGAGATGCGCGCAGCATTCATAAACTATACTTATATGGCAGCACTTGGTTCAAGTACACTTGGACCGCGTCAACCCGCCTTAGTGCGGTGTTACACTATGCGTTTCAGCAGCAACGTGTAAACCGGCCTTTAGAACGCGCTGCCTCTTACAGCAAGTTCTAAGAAGTAAGAACTTGCTGTAAGTTTCTTATAGCGAGTTCGAAAAACGTGCTGCTACAGGAAAATAAACAACAAATAAAATTTATCACAAAAATAAGGCGTCAGCGTTGGCTTGAAAATGGCAATCGATGATGTTTTATATAAAAATCAAATGTCATCAACCCAAAAATCAAATGCCATCAACCCAAAACTCTAACGCCGTTAACTCTAAACGCTACGCTCCAAACTACATATTTTGATTAATAAAGATAGAATCTTGCCGTTTGTGTAAATTTGAGTTACTTTTAAGCGAAATCAACATAGCCTTCTTAATTTCCATGCTACAGGACGATAAGAAGAAGACTGCATTTCAAACACCCCTCGTAATATGAACATATTTTTTTAAGATAAAGACATTTGCTTTGAAAAGAACGTTACACTGAATTATAATTTTACATTTGCAATAAGTTTTTATATCTGAATACAAGAGACAGTTAAAAGCATTTATCAAAATCACCCTGTAGCTCAAAAACTAAGAAGGTTATATATAACATGTGATTTAAAAAAAAAGTAAAAAAACTACGTCAAAGGCATCTGGGGAATGACAATCGATGATAATTTTGGCGAGGTTAATCTCTAGACGTCATTTAGCAAAATTTTACATAAAACTTCAATATTAACAGTTATTGTAGAAAGAATAAAAAAGGATAGAACGGTTCTAGACACACAAATCTATTAATAAAAAAAAATATTTTTTTCCTGTAATTTCAAACTACGCCATTTAAAAATCGTTTTTACTCAATATAAAAATAAATTACAACCTTCTTTAGTTCAACTGGCTGTAAACGCCATTAAACAATAAAGAAGAGGACGGGCCAAGAAAATGAAGTCTAGGGCTTGAGTTCGCAAAAATTGTCATCGTCATTCCCCAGCCGTTCATGACGCCGTTTTTTTTCGACCGTAGGGTATTTTATAAAAAATTAGTAGCACCTGCGAAAACCGCTACTTCCTATCTACGTTCATAAGGAAGAAATACTATAAAACATGAGATACCCATGTTAAACGGTTTCGTCATTTCCATATTTAGTTGCAATTAAGGGCTTTCTTGCTTATTAGTAAAGAATACTAAATGTCGAACTCGTTACTTAAATGAACCCATTATTTTTTTTTTGAAAGCAAAGATACATTACGCAAAATTGTCATGGCCCTCTTACTTTCGATGATACAACGTGTTGCAGTTTTACACACACCTCATACCGTATGATCGAAAAAAAATGGCGTCCAGTTGGCTGGGAAATAACGATCGATGACATTTCCCATATAAATTTACATATAAAATGACAGCGATCTTCATTTCATAGCCATCGCTGACGCTGTTTTTTCTCGATCATACGGTATTATATCAGTAGTAGAACATATTAGGTGGAACCAGAGGCATAAGAATAAGCTTTTTCTTAATATTTTTATCACACACCCTGTATACTTGTTAAAAAAATAATCTTCGTCCTTCACAAGCTTTCAAAATATATGTAATATTTTAGTTAAAAGTTGCTGAATTAATAATTCTAAAATAATACAAATAAAAATTTACATAGAGGACCATGCCAAGACAATGCTGCTATTATCTTTTAATTGGCGAAACCAATTTTGATCTATTTAATTTTTAAATGAAAAGTTTAAACAATAAAGAACTAAAAATAGTAATGAATACTAAGAACAATGACATAGGATATAACAAAATTTGAATTAAACTGTTTTACCCCTAATTATGGTGGCTTGTGAGAGGTTACATTAATTTCATAACAAATATACGGGCTGTCCCATTAATAGAAACTAAACATTGGTCGATATTTAAAAAAAACTATTTAAATTATTTAAAGAAATTAAAAAAGAAGTTCCATAGCAATGTTTTAAAATTTATTGATAAGTTGTCAGACTACTGAAATAGGAGATGTATCTGAAACTGTAAGATTTTCAAAATCACCCTGTATCATAGAAATTAAAATGGGACCGTGGCAATTTTATTTTTCATAAAAATCAAGTTTATAAAAATCGCAATGTCCTATCCTTACTAATGAACGAGAAAACTCAATTGGACAGTCTGTACAACATTATTGATTGATAAACTTTTTCTAGCAAGCGCCAATACTTTCAATAAAGCACACAAAGTGTGAAAATATCACTCATGAGGAAGTGACAAATACCATTCACATGAGTATACCAAACATTACGTTATAATTTAGAGCATAGCCGTTAGTTTTTCCTTGATTACGGAAGTTTTTACAAGGTTTGTTGTTTATTTTCCATTTAAACTAATAAAAATTAAAAATTGCATAAATTAATTAATCGCTCATCGCATGAATTAAAATTATACAAAAAAAATTGAAGTGAATAGTAGATAAATAAATAAAAAAACATATTAAATAACAAGGTAAACTTCTAGTTAACTGAAATTTTAAATAGCTTTAATATGTGCTCTAATATTACCGGCATATTTTGTCAAAGACTTTTGTAATAAAAAGATTGAAGTGGAAATCTCAAATTTAACACTGAGCCACCCTGTAGTAATTTAAACGATTTTTTTTAATTGAATTTTGAAAGCAATAGGTACTTACTTAGAAAGCAATAAACAAATATATTAATTATTCTACAAATTTTAAGTTTAAGGTGTTTGAATGAGTAAGAATCGATTAGGCAACCAGTTATACTAAAATTTAAAAATTGAGATAACTATTCTTAGATGATTTTTCTATGCAAAATGAGCTTTATATAATTAATTTACGCAATTTTCTACTAGAGTACAGTGGTGGATTAATCATTACACAATTACAAATCTTAATCCCATCACTGACTAAATATTTAAAGATTCCAAAACTACAGTTTACAGCCTTAAAATTAGTTCAGATAATTGATAAGTGCCAATTAAATAAATTATTCCAGAAAAAGCTTGCCAGATGCAGAGAAAACAACAGTATCAGCTCATAAGAATGTTATTTGATGAAATTTATTTGTGTCGAGTAATTTAAAGTAGTAATTACTTAAGCATAATAACTTTTGATATATTCTACTTTCAAATACCTGGATATATTTAATTTTTAAATATTCACAATGCCACAATTTTGTTATTTATAAAGTATCTACATATATAAAATGCTAATGTTTATCTGTGTCGTCTCTGCTGAAGTAACAACTTGCTCTAGAAAGTTGACTTTTTTACTAAAAGATAGCTAATTGGCTCTTCTAAAAACTCGTCGCCGGATTTTTTGTTTTTCATTTAATTAAAAAAAATAAGAAAAAAATAAAAGTATTTTTTTCCTGATGTCGTGGCGGACGCGCCAGGCTTCAACTAGTATTATTATAAAATTAAGGGTGTTTTATTTAAATAGCAGAGAAAGATATTATATTATATTTAGTTACCAACATAATATAAAGTATTTTAGTATAATTTGTTTTGACCTTCTGTTATACAGGGTTGTTCACCACATACGACACGGAGTATTGTAGCTAAACGATGAGATTTTTACAAATTGTGAGTTTGGGGTTCGTTGAAGGACTATTAGAGCTACAATTTAAAAATATTTTTACAAGATACAGAGTGTCCCAAATAAATAAAAAATATCAAAGTTGTATTTTTTTAAATGGAACACCCTGTATATTATTACATTTTTAGTTTCTACGATTAAAATAAAGGTAAATTTGATTAAGGTTTATTATACTTAAACCTTACCGTTTTTGAAATATTTTCAATTTTGTGAAATTGCAGTAAAAATTTTAAAGCTTCATTTCTCCAAGGGTGTCAATGTTTTTAATACTAAATATTTAATGAAGTTTATTTATTGATCAGTTATTGTGTTGCAATAATAAAAATAATACTACCTTATACAGAGTGTCTAAAAATTTATTTTAAATAATTATTAGCTTCAAACGGCAATAACTTCTTTAATTTAAATGGAATGCCCTGTATATTTTAGGAGAATCAGATGCACAATTAAATTGTCTATCAAATTGTATTATACCATTTTTACCTATCCCTTCAAGTTTTCGTAGAAAATGCATTTTCTTATAATTTAGACCTCATTTATCAATATATCCATGGAATATTGACATTTTAGATTGTTTTTAAAGCAACAAATGTACAAAATGTACAGACTAGTAATATTATCGTTTTTAGCAAAACGATAATATTACTAGCCCATTTGTATGCAAAAAGAAAACTATTTAAATCTTTATAAAAAAGAGTATACCATTAATTAAATATAACACCATTATTTCCGCCCATATACTAATTAATGACATATTTAATTGTGTTCGTTAATAAGTTATTATAAATAAATGTGGATTTTTGAGTCAGAAATCAATATAATAATAAGTTACCAAATTAAAGTCTTTGTTGTTATAAATAAGCATTTATTAAAAAATGAAATATCATTTTTAAGGTGTTACTTTTTATCACACTGTCTAATGCCCATACAAAATTCAGTTTTTTAGTATTTGGAGCAATTATTATTAATCAACGCAAACAGTCAGTTAATGTAGTTTGAATACGGGAATCATATTAATTGGTCCTCTTTAACAAATATTTAAACAGTTTTTTTTTATTTTTTTAATGAAATAAACGAATTATATCGACAATATTAGTATCTGTACTCTTTAAAAATTTGGTACATCTCTAAAAATAATCTAAAATGTCAATAGTCCATGGGTATATTGATAATAAGTTCTAAATTACAAGAAAATGCATTTTCTGCGGAAACTTAAAGAGATAGGTAAAAAATGGTATAATATAATTTGATAGACAATTAAATTGTGCATCTGATTCTCGTAAAATATACAGGGTGTTCCATTTAAATTAAACAAGTTATTGCCGTTTGAAGCTAATAATTATTTAAAATAAATTTTTAGACACTCTGTATAAGGTAGTATTATTTTTATTATTGCAACACAATAACTGATCAGTAAATATTTAGTATTAAAAACTTTGATACCCTTGGAGAAATGAAGCTTTAAAATTTTTACTGCAATTTCACAAAATTGAAAATATTTCAAAAACGGTAAGGTTTAAGTATAATAAATCTTAATCAAATTTACCTTTATTTTAATCGTAGAAACTAAAAATGTAATAATATACAGGGTGTTCCATTTAAAAAAATACAACTTTGATATTTTTTACTTATTTGGGACACTCTGTATCTTGTAAAATTATTTTTAAATTGTACCTCTAATAGTCCTTCATCGAACCCAAAACTTACAATTTGTAAAAATCTCATCGTTTAGCTACAACACTCCGTGTCGTATGTGGTGAACTACCCTGTATAAAATATTGTCAATTAAAAAAAATAAAACTTTATAAATTTTTGTGAAAGCTTTAAAAATGTACAGGAACAATCTAAAATAACAATAGAATTAAAATTTGAATAACATTTCATTTAAATACTACCAATATAAAGCAAAAATATATTAAAAACACCCTGTGTATATCTACGAACTGGCTCTAAAATATGGTCTACCGTAACTCCAATGTTTTATAAAAAAAATTCAGTGAAAATCTCAAACTCAAGACCTAACATGATTATTTTTGGAACCCAAGTACCCAAGAGTGGCCCAATATTCTGTGGTAATATAAATTATTCTTTTTTACCTACTAAAAAAAAGATTCTTAATTAGCTGATTAATAATTATTAGACACGACAAAAAAAATATTTAAAATGAAAAAAGAAATGACTGTGAACGTAGTGCTCGGAATCTCTAAAGCGCTTACAAAATATAGATGTATACAAAACATTTTTATAACAAAAATACAGCAATAGATCACAATAACATTTGTACAGAAATAGGTAGTACAATATTATCGAATAAAAATAGCGTCGGCGATGGCTTAGAAACGTTTCCTATTACAGATAGCAAAGGTAAGCTATAGATCACTATTATTAACAAAATATTAAAAACAATATTTATAAAATTCTAATACACCAAATAACATACAAAATTGGTATTAAAATATATCTTTTTGTAACATTTAAGTGGAATGAAATCTATGCCAAAAGATTTTAAATGTTGAAGGACCAACTGAAAAAAGATATGCCACATAAAATAGAATTATTATTTTTGTGTAAAAATGTGTTTTATCTTAAAATTATACATTTAACAAATATGTATATACAAATGTTAATTTTTATATTATGACTTATGATATTTCAATTGATCCTACAATAAATATATTACATATATACTTTCATATACCCTAGCAGACCATTTTCATATGCAAAATTAATAAATGTTAGGAGATAAGTTTTTAAATAAATAAGAACTATTATTATAGTCTGTGAAACGAATAACTTTGAATTTGACAGTTCTCGCGGGCTTTTCTAGTGTAAATTTTATTAGGTTAGCAACTTGCGGCCATGCTGATGCAATGCCGTCTCTAATAGAACAGCCTTTGAGCGAGATGTATGACGTCACCCTAGTTAGATACTACGGATTAATTATGTTGTAGAATACATGGAAAACATAATTATTATTCCTCGTATATGTAATTTTTTGGATTATATTCGACACTGTTTTTTTCATATGACACAACACTGATGAAGGCTATAAACGTTTATTTTTTTATTTATTTTATATATTTTAGGCTATAACGTTTTTTTTTTTTAAACCAAAAAAATAATGAAAACCAAATGAAAATTTAATCGGCGTTTTTCCCGAACCTAAATCCGAAGAAAATCAAAAGTTTTAGAATAATTTTACATATAAAATGACAGCGATCTTTATTTCATAGCCATCGCTGACGCCTTTTTTTCTATGATATTGTATTATTTGCAAATATAATTTTTCGAACATTAATGCTTGCAAAATATACATATAAATTTTGTGAATGCAAATAATAATACATTATTATTTAAAGTACAAACCAAAAATACGAGGAATAATTATGTTTTCCATGTATTCTACAACATATTTATTAATCCGTGGTATCTAACTAGCGTGACGTCATAAATCTCGCTGCGAGGCTGTTCTATTAGAGACGGCATTGGTCTGATATTTAGAAATGTGAAAGGCTGATGACATTTTACTTTTGTCAATAATGACATTTCGCATAAGTTTCGCATTGATTTTTGCAAGAAGAGGAAGAACTGTCACTTGCTTGTTTGGTTATTTTCCTTTTCTATTTCACGAAAGTAAAAAGAGTTACCTATCTGATTCGTTCCGGCACTCATTTTAAAGAATATCAGTAACTTTTTGGATAGAGGGATTTTATATTTGCCATGTTGGTAAAAAATAACGGTCAAAATTCAAAGTTATTCATTTTATAGACTATATCACAACATTAAATAAGCAAAACATATGAATCGATTAGGCAACCAGTAATACTAAAGGTTAAAATTCATGTATTTATTTTCAATTGAACTCTTCTAAAATAATTAATTTAAATATGCAATTTTGATTGGATTACAGTGGTATATTAACTAGTACATGCATTAAAAAACATTGCATTCAATTTTAGTATAAATATACTTGAATCGCACAGTATATCTACGAAAAATAATTTTAAAATGTGTGCTCACAATATATTTGTTAAAAAAATTGAAATGAAAATATTAAAAAGAAAATTATTTTTATAAGGAACGTATATATTATGAAAATGTTAATAAAAAAATCTTTTGCTCTTGTAAAGACGTTCTGAGGACATATTGTATATAGAGAATTCTGCACATAAAAAAAAGCAATGCATGAAGTGCATTGCTCTCTGTGTTAAAGAAACAAACTTTATCACTAAAATTTAAGTACAAAATAGACATAAACATATTATATGTTTTAAAATCATATAAATTGATTAAAAACATCTATGTTAGGGAACTCAAAAAAAAATATATGAACACAAGTATTCAAAATTGATTTAGTAAAAAAAAATAAACACTAATAAATCATTTCTACTGGCTTGACATTGATATTGAATAATCACATTTAATTTTTATGAAAAAATATTAAATTTACCGTTAACTATTAAATTAATCATCCGGTTGGAGATATAGTTAGTTAAATTCTATAAAATTTAGTTTTGCGTTAATACAATAAATGAAATATTAAAAAACGTAAACTTTAAAACTAAAATAATACTTGTGTTCATAGGGCTATAGTGACGCAGCTGCGCAAGTACAAAAATTATAATTTTGATAATCTGGAATAAACTTAGAGAAGCTTAGGAAAATATAAATAATACAAGATAAAAATAAATTAGAAATGATAGAAGCCTATAAAGATTGTTTTTTAATTCTTTTAAAAAATACCTTTGACGAAATCCAGAATACAATATAGTTTTATTTAACAACAATTTAATGATTGAATTAAAGGAAGTATAAATATAAGACAGGTGAGATTGAAAAAAAGCTTGAAATGAAAAATTATAACAGATTAGTGTTATGTTGCTAAACATATCCTCCATAAAGATGATTGCATTGATTTGAATGATTTAAAATTAATCAAACATCCCTCAAACTAGAGGCAACACAAGGCATAAATATAAAGACAATATCAACAGGGATAATGGTCTTATTCATAAAATAAAGTGTATTGCTCTGAACTAGTGTTTTATATTGCAAAAGCTTAAGAAAAAAAAAGGTTTCTATCCAGATTATCAAAATTTTACAAAAAATTAACATTAAAATGACGCCTGATATAATTATATAGTAAGAGGATAAAAACCAATAAACAAATTTATTGAAACAATAACAATATTAATGAAGCTAACGAACCTTGGTGAGGCATTGAGGAGTATTGAGTCTGCTTTATGTCGAGTGAAAGAGGAAAGTGAGGAGTAGGAGTAACTGTTGGGGATATCCATTGTTAAGAAAATGCAGAGATATCTAAAAAATAAAGTAAAAATAATATTAAAAAAGGCATAAAACGATCTATGTAAATATTAAAATAAATATATTTTTATTAATGCAATAACTATGTTTTTTAAATTAATAATTTGTATATACCCTATGAGAAAAAAACAGCATTATAGTGGCTTTTGAAATAACAATTATTGATGACAATTATTTCTGCCAGGTAGACCACATTATATCATTTATAAAAAAATAGTATAAAAATTAAATAAAGAAATGTTAAGAAATTTAAAGCTCATATTTTTTTTAATTAAGGTTTTCACCTTTGAATAATAATCGGTATGTTTGAAACCTTTTTCCTTTTTTTCATTTAAATATTATTTTTGACAAGTTTTTATATCAATATTTAATAAATATCATATAGAAATAGACGTTGACCTCAGAGACCTGTGCAGCTTGAATATTATGTAAACTTATCATAATTTTCAAGCTTGTCGATGAAATTTAGTTAGAAAAAAGGGATAAATAACTTACCATTAATAAAAGACTGCGACCACTTTTCAACAGCTATTAAGTACAGTCCTAAATGGTCTTTCTAAGTCTTTTCTTGCAAGTTACATTCCATTTAAAGCTTTTTCATGTCCACCATAATATTTACAGGTAGTACGGCTTGTGGATTTTTAACAGCAATTGTCCCAGCGTATAACTAAAATTCCAAAAAAATATTAAGTAAATTTTTACTATACTAATTTTGGAAGATTTCTAAAAACAAGATTAATAAAAACAAAACAAAAAAGATTAATTAAAATTATATTTATTAAAATAGAAGAAAAATATTAAACGGCTCAGCACTAAACAACTCGTAACCATTTTTTTTCTTGTTTATTAAAATATGTATATATTTATTGCGTTTATTCTAGTGGGAACATTAATATATCGTCAAGGTGTGTGTGACGAGTTCTGTAATTTTAAACCAAACAGTTTTGAATAGCGAACGTTGACAATTTGGCGAAGGATATTTTTAAATAGTTAATTCTGTGTTGTAATCAGCGATAAACTGTGTGTATATAGTGCGAAAATAAATCCGTTAAGTAGTTTATCGTCAGTTTAAATTAGTGGACAAACAGAATCCGTAACAATATGCAACCAGTAATACGGTATCAGCATTACATTTGTCCTGCCTATTTTTAATAGTTGTTGGCTTTTCTAATATTGGAACAAAAGCGCCTGTATATATTTTAAAAAAAATCAAGCTGTCCAATGAAATTAAAAAGATAGATAAATAACTTACCATTGATGAAGAACTGGATCTCCTCTAACAGCTATTAAGTAACAGCAGTTGAAAATGGTTTTCCTTGATTTCTTCTGCACAAGAGTTTCTCATTTCATTTAAATCACTTTTATGACCATCATACATATTATTTGCAGCTGGTATGTCTTATCGGTTTCTAATAGCCATTGTCCTATCGTATGCCTAAATAAAAAAAATATTAGGTAATTTTTTATTATAGCAATTTTTGAAGCTATCAGAAAACAGACAATAACATAAATTATGTTAATATTTAGAACTATGTAACATAACAAATAATAGACATTTTTTTATATTAATTTGAATAAGTTATAAAGAGTTGTATAAAATTAAAAAAAACTTTTATTGATAACTTCAGAAATGATATAAAAAATTGTAAAATTCCTTGATAAAAAAATAAAACATTATTATAATGAGTTACTAATAATCCAAAAAATAAATCTAATTTACTAGATATATAGAAAAAGAAAAAAATAATATTTAGTAGTAACTCGTAAACTTATTGCGTTATTTTGGTAAACTTTAATAATTTTGAAATAAATTTAAAGATATGCAACCAGTAAAACACTGTTAGCATTGTATTTTTCTCCACTTTAATTGGCCATAACTTTTTATTTTTTTTGAGCTCTAATATTAATTAAAAAAAAAACAATTATATTAGTTTTCCAGTCAAGTTTTAATACGGTTTTATTATGATAAATGTCATACAATCTCAAGTAAATGCCCTATAAATTAAAAAAAAAAGAGAAATAAACATAATAATTTTCGTGTATTTTTTATTAAATTTTGATAAAACTATTACAAAAAAAAGGGCACGAGTGTCTTTCAGAAATTAAAAAACGTGCCATCTAATATATTTTTAATGTATAGGGTCTTCCATTTAAAAAAATACACATTAAAACTTGAACTAAAACTTTATAATTTCTTTTTTTTTCAATGAATGTTCTAGCTTCTAAAATAAAAAAAGTTAAAACCTGTTAAAATTTAGGGCAAAATAAAATGCTAACTGTACAAACTGCGGAGTATGAATATTCTGCAAAATTTAATCATTTTACAAAATTTTCAAGCTTATCAATGCCACTTTATGACAATATATACAGGGTATTTCACGTAACTAGTCCATTAAAAGTGTTTTAAAATTAAATTTAGTTCAAATTAAACCAGTTACAGGACTTAGAAAAATATATACCGTGAAAAACTTTTAATGAACCAGTTGTATGAAAATCTCTGTATATAAAATGATCAAAATAACTTACCATTATTAAAAGGCAACAGATGTCGAGCCCAACCCTGGTTCTATTAACTTTACATCCTGAAACGACTGACATTTTTCTGTATCCAATCAAAAATTTTCCTTCAAAGCTGCAACTTGTTCGTTGAGTTGTGACAGTAGCTGTCAAAATGTCCATTACCATCAATTTCTTCAGCTCACTAAAAGCACAAAAAAATAAAATATAAAAAATTTAAATAGGTAATAAAAAAAATTATGACGTCAGTTTGTTCATACTAAATTTATCATAATTTTTAACCTTGTCAAAGAAATTTAATAAAAAAAAATAAAATAAATAAATGAGACGTCTAAATGCAAAACCCGACAAGTGACCCGTTTTGGAAAATTGAGATCTATAGAGCATTTAATTCGTTATCCCAAGAGAAAATGTGAATTACATTTTTATGCAAGATATTTTCAAGAAATAATACACCAGATAAATTCAGTCAGGTAGATTTATTATTCTTTCTACTATTCATAATATTTTAAATAATTTTTAGTGTATTTTGTAAAATTGATTTCAATGGACTTGTCAGGTTTAGCATTTAGACGCCTGAAATAACTTACCATTGATGAAGGACTGCATCCACTCTAACAGCTATTAAGTACAGTCCTCTGAGTCTTTTTCTGCAACTTTCATTCCATTTAAAGTTTTTTGATGTCCGCCATAATATATTATTTGCAACTAGTACTACTTGTTGACTTCTAACACCAATTGTCCCATTGTATACCTAAAATTCAAAAAAAGTATTAAGTAATTTTTTAACGAATCAATTTTTAAAGATTTTTAAAAACAAAAAAAAAATATTAATATTTAGAACTTGTTTAGAACTATGTAAAATCATAAACATGCGGCTATTATACCAATTTAAATAAGTCACATACAATAAAGATCTTAAATGGACTCTAATAAAAAATAATTATAATTTTTATATTAATATTTGCGGTTTTAACGATCGAAAAAAATATAAATAAGGTATCTGCTGTACTAAAAATATCAAAATAAAAAAAATCAACTTATATTTACCATACCGTAATTTTATTGTGCTTATCTTAGTGGAAATTTTAATAATTATTAAAACCAGATTTAAAAACTGCATTTTTTTCCAAGATCGCTATATGCAACCAGTAATACAGTGTGTGTATTTTATTTTATCCTGCCTTTAATAATCCCTTTTATTATTGTTTTAGTTAAAAAAAAAACAGAAAAAAATAGAGCATGTTAATATTGGACCAAAAGAACTCGAATACCATGGAAAATTTAATTATTTTTATAAGATTTTTAAATTTTATAAAAATAAGTTGAGAAGCATAACTTACCATTATTAAAAGACAACAGGTGTTGAAGTCAACCAGTAAATGGCATTTTTCTGTGTCCATTAAAGATTTTCCATTAAAACTGGAACTTGGACTGGAAACAGCTGTCAAAACGTCCATTAATACCAATTTGTATTGCTTACTAAAAATACAAAAAATAAATAAGTAAATTTTTATAAAGTCAGTTTCTTCACACATTTTGGAATAAAAATTTTTGTTTTTTTAATATATGTTAGGTAGATATTAAAAAAATAAACGCAATAGTAACTCTTTAAAATATTTCAAATATTCATAGATTTTTACAAAAAGAAAACATACTAAATAAAATTAAAATAGTCTGACACAAATTTGTAAATAACTACAGAGATTGAAAAAAATATATTAATATATTTTCAATCTCAAACTTATTTTATTTTGAATTTGAAGCCTATAATTTTGCAGTTAAATACATAAATTGTAGACTTAAAAAAATAATAAAAAAATAAAAATAACTTACCATTTTCATAGCGCAACGGTAATGAAGGCCAATCAATCCAAATACTATTGATTGTATCTTAAAATTGTCATTTGTGAGTAAGATTTTCAGTATCACTTTATTCAAAAAATTCCTTGGCATTCCTCCAACTTATGTACAGTAGTAAATCATTTGAAGTTTTGTAACAGCAACTATTAACGCCCAGTACATCACTCGAACAGATATCTAAAAATAAGAAAATAAACAAATATTAATAAGTATATTAATTTGTATCAATGTAGAAAATTAAAATAAACAAGTTGAAGCCTGGCGCATCCGCCACGACATCAGAAAAAGAAATACTTTTTATTTTTTTTTTTAATTAAATGAAAAACAAAAAATTCGGCGACGACAGTTTTTAGAAGAGCCAATTAACTATCTTTTAGTACAAAAGCAACTTTCTAGAACAATTCGTTACTTCAGTAGAGACGATACAGATAAACATTAGCATTTTATATATGTAGATAAGAAAACATTGTAATATCAATACAGATAGGCAAAATACAAAATTAAGTTGATTTGAATAAAAAAATTCGCCTAATAAATTTAAAATTAAATATTGCACCTAAAGGTATTGAAATATATACATTATGTGTAAAATATGTCAACTAACTAATCTAACCTCACCAAACCAAAATTCCAAGCTTTCCAAAAACAATAGGAAAGAAAATAATGTGAAAAAACTTACCATTTTTGAGAGATATCTGCGTTGTTGAAGTCAATTTAATGTCCTGTATCTACTGTACAATAAATTGGTCATTTGTGAGCCTTTTCGCAGTTTAAATTATGTCAAAACTTCTTTGGTGTTTCTAATAATTCATCCAAGTTGTTATAACAGCTGCCATTCTACATTTCCACCAATAGATATGCTTGTATAATACATAAATAAATGAAACTTGATGTCCAAGATACCAATAACATCTATAAATAAAATAAAAGTTGTGATAAGTATTTACTTTTTGTAACTAGATGAAAAAAATTACCTTAATACAGTTGCTCCAAATTTCATTCAAAAAACTTCTGTTACAGCGAACAAAATCCTCCTCCTTTCCTCAAACATCTTCTATCTCCTTTCCTTCTATTTCAAAGCAATCCTCTTCCATCTTCTCTGTCCTCTTCTATTTTCCAACTCTCACCAATTCTTATTCAACCACTTATATAACTAATTTATACAAATTTCAGGCGTCTTACAAACATTTTTGAAAAAGGGGGAAAAGGGATATAATGCTACAACAAACGACTACGCTAGCGCACCTACCTAAAAAAGAAAAACACTTTTTTTAGTCAATGAAAATAATAAATATAAAGTTATATAAATTTACCTGATGGCATCTAGAAGATGGCTCTAATCCTGCTGTTGTCCCACCAAAAAATTCATTCCAAAGCAGTTTAGTACTAAAAAAATTTATATGCAGCTAACTTTAATTTTAGTAACAAAAATAAATTACTAATACTTTAATTCTCATTATAATGTAAAATTACATTATTTACTAATTTACGTTTAATTAAAAATTACTATTAAAAAAATTAAATATTACCAATTTTAAAATAAGACGAAAAATAGTTATTTCCAAATATAATAGAGAAACAATATGCTACCTAATTTTGTCTCTTTGGAGTTATTTTTTTATTACCCATTTATTATTGCTAAAAAAACTTTATATTAAAGCCTTGTATAGAGTAAGAAAAAGAGTAAAAATGAAATATAAAAATTGCAAATTAAAAAATGAGTACTTAATGCAACACTCTATAAATGTAGGGAACCTAAAGTTACTGCTTTGGAACCACGACGCGAACCGACTTTTAAAGTTCTCCAAGCCATACTGTATCACCTGTAAGAGAAAAAAAATATTAGAATATTTCTAACAAATACATATGCTAGAAGAAACAAAAAAACAAGCTATAGACAACAAAAAAAAAACAATGTAAAAATATAAAAACTCACCATCACATCTTATTGCTTAAGTTCATTTTCAGTCCCACTATAATAATTATACGGCGAAAAAAACAGTGGCGTCTCACTGCTTTGGGGCACATCGAATGCCCCCAACTCCATGGACTTCGGTCGATCCTGTAGAGTTGACAGTAAACACGTTTTCCAAGTATTCGACGGTGCCTGGAACAATCCGAAATTTTTTGGGACTGATCATACGCAGCATGTAGATAGAATTTCTGACTTCTTCAATCTCGTTTTTTAAAATCGCGGTGCGAACCCGGGTTGTCCTAAAGAAATGAAAAAAAAAATAGTTATATAAGTAACTACAAGTTAAATTAGAATTTAAACTTATATCTACTATAAGTTTTAAAAAAGTTGTTCCAATTACTATACAAGTTATTCTACCTCAAAGTGAAGCTCATGTATGTTGTAACAAAAAAACTAAAATATACAACACTTTATATAAAAAGAATTTTGATTGCTACATGGTGGCATAAAAAAGTTATTTGGTAGAGAGTACAGTAAAAGTTTACAATTTAATGTAATATAAAAAAATAGACTTACTTTTAACAGGTTTAAGTTAGGCCTGGTTATGCTCGCCTCCTCCCGACATTTTCTGCCTTCAAAATTCGACGCGGGGCAGACCAAGAGAAAAAACAAAAAAATGTTTCCACGACCCGCCTGCGAGTGTGTGCTGGTTGCCTTCCTTATGCAGATTCGACCCATTGGTCGACGATTAAGCCTCACCAGTCAGTTCCCATCCCAATTAAAGCCGCCTCGTCTGGGGTCACCCTCGTCACCCGTCGGACGGACATCCACCGGGACCCCCTACAGGCGGACCCCCTCATCATCTTCAATGTGTCCGATATCCCGCCCCCTGCCTCTTCGAGGGTCACGGAATACGTGCACGAAGAAATCTCGGAGCTTGGGTGCCAGGTTGTATCCGGCCGAAGCCTCTAGCATTAGAACACCTAGCTCGTAAATCAGAGGGTGGTGACTCCCTTGGGTACCTCTGCATGCTACACAGGTCATCGATGCCCGAACATCGGGGTTAGGGGGTGACCCAAGAAGTCTCCTCTCTTGGGGAAGGCCGCGCCGCGCTCTGGAGTCATCTTAAGCCGGGGATCCACACCGACAAAAACACTGTTAACCAACCGCATCAGCTAATGAAATTCACTAATGTTGAATTAGGAAATTTTATTAACCAACACAGAGAGCTAGCAATGCTCGTGTGAGTGGGGAAGGAGTGTGTGGTGTTGTAGTATTAATATAACGCGCCTAAAAAACGAAAAAATATTGGAATACCTATAAAAATATTATCGAACATCTATAAAAATATTACGACAATATATAAATAGGTAATTTATTTTAAATGAAAAAAGATATGGAAAAAAAAGATGCTCCATTTATACCTCAGCAATATTTTATAAGATTTTTTCCTTGATTATATTATTATACCAAAAAAATGTCAAAAACATAAAGATGTTATATGATCTAAAGAAAAAGGGATATAAATTTGATGAATATGGTCAAAATCAAAATTTTTTCCATGATGTAACCCATACATAAATATACAAGGAGTTTTAGAGTTGTAACATATTATTTAGAGCTAAAAGTTAAACCTACAGTGTTTCAAATAAATAAAAAATAATAAAGTTATATTTTTTTTAACAATGAGACATCCTATATATTTTATTACGTTTTTAGTTTCTACTATGAAGACACAAAAAACAATCGATCAAAATTTACCTCAAAATCATACTTACTGTTTTCGAAATATTTTAATTTTTATAAAAATTCAGTAACAATTGATTTATTTCTTCAATGCAAATTTACAACTAATACTGAATTAGCAAAAATCATTTGTCAACATTAATACTATTTTTTAACATGTAATATTACATAACGCGCTTTAAAAGAGAAATATATTTTAAAATACCAATATCAGAAATCATTACAAAAAAGCTGAAACATAAATATGTAGGATTCTTAAATCAAAAAAATACGTAATAAAATTCCTAATGAACCTACCTATTTAAAACATAAATACAAAAAACCTACTCATTCAAAATATTATTAATGCGCATATTTTATATTTTTAAAAAATAAAGAAAACTCTAAGTATACCCTATAAAAAGAAATTTAAATTAAAAATAGCAATTTACAAAAAATCAAGACATCGAATTCCAACAGGCGGCCATTTTATTTAAACATTTCTTGGCCGAAAAAATTAAACAAAAAATCAAAGATACCATTACGTAATTTACCAAAAATGTAGTACTATTTGACCCGCTTATGTAACACGCAGTATAGAAAGTACCGAAAATACATAGTTTTACATACTTATCTATTAACTACGTATATTATTTAAACAATATCCTTAGAAATTAATAACTTAATGTTGAACATTGAGAACAAGGCAGCCATGATGGATATTGCGAAATCCAAAAATATTAAACTAAAATATCTCAAAAAATACATAAAATTACGGGTACTCACTTTTTCAGGAGGCTAAGCAGGGCACTAGTAACAGATTACGCATAAATTGTGTACACTAAAGCACTTTTTCGTTAGAAAATTTAAAAATCGATGCAACGGACGGGAGGACGTGCGGATCTTTCAATTGCAAACGTCCCAAGCATGACCGGCGTTGCCAGATTAAAGTCATTCGTAAAATTTAAGCTGCTCATAAACTTAATCTATTTATTACTAATAAAATTGTTTATAGGAAAATTCTTGTAAATTAAGCTTAATTTTGATCTCAAAACTTATTATTTACTCAATACGTTCCACTAAAATCGTTTTTTTACGTAAGGTAAAATATTTTTTTTGTCATAAATAAGAAATAAATAAGTAATTATAAAGAAAAACACACAAAAATCATAAAATAAACATAAAATGAAGCTGTTTAAATACATTTTTAATGCTATAAATACATCGAAACCAAGAATAAAAGGCTATAATGTTAGTACGTAATTACAAGAAGAAATAAAAGGAATTTCTACAAAACAACATTACTGGTACTTGTTTTACTAAAAATATAAATATAGAAATGACCCTTACTATAGTGCCAGTGATCAATTTAAACTAATATAAATTCACAAAAATCACATAGAGAAAAAAGATTTCGACATTTCTTAACAATCCGGCAACATTGAACGAGAATAAAATTCAAAACCTCCACGCAACCGAAACTGACCAATCACGATCGAGCATTTTTGCTCTTGGATGCCTAGATTTTAATTTTTTTTTTTTTTTTTAATAAACATAGATGGTTTTATTAAAATTTCGGTAGAATAATATGCTTCCACAAATGCTTCTTAAATTAATTAAACGATTTGTCTTTATTCCTCCAGTATAAAATATCATACAAAACTTATTTTATATTGAAATTATCTGGCACACACATAATTAGATGAACTATAAAATCATGCATTTCTTTAATATTTTAATAAATTATTAAGAAACAAGTGCTTTTATTCAATAAATATCCATTAGTTTAATAAGTAACTAATTCTATATAGTTAAATAGTAAGAAATATGAGATAAATTATATAAAAAAAAGTCTTTAACTTGACTCAGTTGACAGCTCTAACCGGATGTATCTGTTCAACTTTTGGCGCCACAATTTTCAAATTTGAAATTTAATTAAGCTGAAAAATCCTATATTTACAAGAAAAAATATATTAATAAGTACAAATTATGAGCGAAAAAACGGCGTCCAGTTGGCTGGGAAATGACGATTGAGTACATTTTCCATAAATTTACATATAAAATGACAGCGATCTTTATGTCATAGTCATCGCTGACGCTATTTTTTCGATCATATATTACGCTATTATTTATATTATTATTTTAATATTTCGCACAACACGTGAACGCTTATTATGTATTTTCATAGTCAATAAAATTAAATAGAAATAAAACTCTAGATTCCTATAATTAATCTAATAATTGCTTAGATTATTTGTTATTATGCTACGTTTAAAAAGTGCTTTATTAAAAATTCGGAAAATTAAAAAGCGATATGTGTCCAAGTTTCTTCTTTTTTTTTAATTTTTAAATGCTGTAGCTCCATATCATGTTCTTAATAGGTTTAATTAAAACTGTAGAATCAGCTTCAGCAACATTAACAGTTACCTTGTTAAGATTTTTCTCTTCTTACACCTAATTTATGTGATTTTCTTAGCATATATGATTTATAAACCATATTTTTCCTAACGGAAGGATGGAAGGATATGCAAGATTAAGATATTTTAACATTTATTTTCCAATAATTAATATTAAGAAAGATCTTAATATAAATCACAAACTCACTAAGTCTTATCCTTTATTAAGTTAGTCTAGTACTGTGATCTAGTATAAACACAGGTATAAAAGTAATAAGATCAAAACTCAACCTTCACCATATTGTCAAGATTTGGCATTATAGGAAACAAGAAATTACAGTAATTTCGAAAAGAAAATCAAAGTACACGATATTAAATACTGTAATGTATTTTACGACACTCTATCTCCCATTGAC